CAGGTACACACAGGGTACACATACATGCAGGCAAAACACTCATACACAAGACAGGTTCTGGGTTCTGGACAGATGCTACACAAGCTGGGGCCAAAGTCAGTGTGGTGTCACACCTGCTTTGAGAAATTGAATGTCAGTCAAGCCTAGATGTCTGGAGACCATCTAGGGTTTGTTATTTCAGTTTTGTTTCTCTCTTTGTTGTTTTTGTTTTTCCAGACAGGGTTTATCGGTATAGCAGGGCCTTGGCTGTCCTAGAACTTGCTTTGTACACAAGGCTGGCTTCAAACTCCTGTCTGCTTCCTTAGTGCTGGGATTAAAGGTGTGTGCCGACACGCCTGGCTCATAGTCTGCAGCATGAAGCTGTCTTCAGCTTCATGATTGGGTTTCCCAGACTGCAGATGCTCAGTCAGGACATCCTCCATTGCAAACCACAGATAATGGGCCTTATCTGTGGCCCAAAGGCGATTTCTCTACAAGCTGTGAATATGGGGAAAATTAGAACCATGGAGATGTGCTCCAGCAATGCAATTGTGTAAATCTGTGTCTGTGGGTGTATGTGTGTGTGCTTGTGTAAGGGAAGTTCTCTCCTTCACCAAGTGAGTCCTGAGGACTGAACTCGGATCACTGGGCTTGGTGGGTAAGCCATCTCAGCAGCTCAGATGTTGGCTCTTGGAACTGCTTAGAGTCCTGTCCCATGCAGGCCTAGGTCAACACTCTCAGGTGTGAGCAATTGCATTTTCTTCACCATTATCCTGCGGACAGCTTTGTTGAGTGATTCACATGCTGCCATAACTTCTCCAGCCCACCAGCCATATTAAATGATGTTTTGACTGGCCAGTCACTATCATCAAGGCCAAGGTTTCTCACAGCAGGCATCGATGCAGCTCACTCTCCCAGGTCCTCCTGGCCACCATCAGGAAGCTCGAAACTCTGCCTGCCATAGCCCCCAGGGACAATTTATGAGCAATGAAATATTAAGGATTTCCTCACACATTTCACACCCCCAGACAAATATAAATACTGAACGAAATGTTTTATATTTCCATTTTCCCCAAATGTCCCTTTGGGGTCCTGATTTCATGGAACCGCCTGGTTGCCAGCTATACAATATTGGAGGTATGTGCAAATGGCATCAGTCTAGTCTACCCAGCCTGCCCAGTGCCAAGTCTGTGAGGCCAAGTGCACTGGGAAGGGTTTTCTGCGGGAAGTTTTGAGCTTGCCGAGCTTAAGGAAAGCCTGCCTCACTCTTTTTAGCAGGCAAGACTATTGTGTATAAAATCCACAAAAATCCTCCAGTCTGTTGCTTTGTCTCCTGGGTCACTTTCAACCGTGTGCTTGAGGATTTCAGCGGTAGGCCAGATTGGTTAATAAGAAGTTGCCAGTACTCAAGTGCACTCTTCTCAAATTTGGAGCCTGTAGGGAAGTAGACAGACTGCTCCTGTCTACTGTGGGTGATGAGCCTAAAGGCCTTGGTTTTCCTGGCTGAACAGGTCACTTACCCGCAGCCTTGGGTCAACCTAGGGTAGCACTTGGGCTTCTTCGACATTTAGTTGTGCCTTCATGTTTAATTCCTAGATCCCTAGAGTGTATAATTATAGAAGCTGAGGGAAATTTTGGAGTGCTGGTGGCAGCTGTAGAACAAGGGAAAATCAGTGTGGGTCCTCCAGTCTGCATTCCGGCTGCCAGTGGGGAGCACTTCCTTTCAAGGTGCAAATTGTTTGTTTGTTTGTTTGTTTGTTTGTTTGTTTTTTTAATGAGTTGTTTTTGTTTGTTCTGGTTTTTTGAGACAAGGTTTGTTTCGAGACAGAGTTGGCCTGGAACTCACAGAGATCCACCTGCCTCTGCCTTCAGAGTACTCGTACTGAGTGCTGCCAGGCCTGGTGTCACACGCCGTTTGTGCCAGACAGTGCCAGCGTGCCAGACAGAGATGGATCTCTGAATTCAAGTCCAGACTGGCCTGCCTAGTGAGTTTCAGGACAGCCAGGGATACGTCGTGAGACCCTGCCTCAAAATCGACAAACAAAGCCACGCCACCAGTGCCTGTTCTTTGAGGCAGGGTTTCCTTACATGGTCCCAGCTGGCCTTAAATTTATCATCCTCCGGCCTCAGACACCCAGGTGCGAGTGCTGGGATTAGCGTTGTGTGCCACAACACTAGCTTTAGTTTTTAATAGTGTATCCCTGTCTGTCCCTCTGACTTGCTATGTAGCTGAGGTTGACCTTGTGCTCTTAATTGTCCTGCTTTTATATTCCAAGAGCTAGGATTATGGCTGTGTACTAGCAAAGCTGGTACTAGTGCTTGAAGCCCAGAGTTTGTGCAGAGGCAAATGCTCTGTCAGCTAAGCTCTATCCCCAGCCCTTGGGGATGTACTGTGTGTGTGTGTGTGTGTGTGTGTGTACATGCCGTTGTGTGTTTGTGTACATTCCATTGTGTATGTATACGCAATTGTGTACATGTGTATGTGTACATGCCATTGTGTGCATGTGTGTGCATACCAGTATGTGTATGTACTGTCCATTGTGTGTATGTGTATGTGTGTATACATGCTACTGCATGAATTATGTATATGTACATGCTGTTGTGTACATGTGGAGGTCAGAGGACAACTTGCAGGGGCTGGTTCTCCCTTTCTGATGTGAGTCCTAGAGCTCAAACTCTGGCTCTCAGCCTGGGAAGTAAACATCCCTAGCCTCCACTCGGTCTCCGCCTATAATTACTTTAAACACACACTTTCGTCGTCTTCTGCTTGCTGAGTGGCCTGAAGTTCTTTGTGAGGAAAGAGTTTGTGACTGCTCCTGTCTACTGTGGGTGATGAGCCTAAAGGCCTTGGTTTTCCTGGCTGAACAGGTCACTTACCCCCAGCCTTGGGTCAACCTAGGGTAGCACTTGGGCTTCAACATTTAGTTGTGCCTTCATGTTTAATTCCTAGATTGCCAGTGTTCTTGAGAATTTGGCTATGAAGCTAGTTTTTTATAAACACTATCTAAGCCAGTCAGCATGGCATGTATATGCAGGCCCCACTACTCTGGATGCTGAGGCAGGGGTATTCCTTGAACTCAGGGGCTTTTGGTTGGTTGGTCGATTGGTTGGATTTTGGTTTTATGAGACAGGGTCTTTCTATGTAGCCCTGGATGATCTGGAACTGCCTATGTAGACCAGGCTGGCCTCAAACTCACAGGGACCCTTCTGCCTCTGCCCTGCCTCCCAAGTGCTGGGATTAACAGTGACCTCCCCGAGGAAGGCAGAGGCAGGCAAGTGCTGTGAATTTGAGGCCAGCCTGGTCTACAAAGTGAGTCCAAGACAGCTAACACAGGGTTTCTCTGTGTAGCCCTGGCTGTCCTGGACTCGCTTTGTAGACCAGGCTGGCCACGAACTCTGCCTACCTCTGCCTCCCAAGTGCTGGGATTATAGGCATGCACCACCACGCCTATCTTCAAATTTTTAACTTTACTTACATGTGTCTCTGTATGAGTGTAGGCCCCCAGGAATGTAAGGTGCCCTCAGAGGTCAGCAGATGCTGTCAAATCCCTTGGAGTTGGAGTACAAGACATTTTTGAGCCATCTGAAGTGAGTGCTGGGGCCATGATGGAGCAGGAAGTGCTCTTAACGGCTGAGCCATCGCTGCAGTTTTTGCTTTTTGCTAGGGATATAACTGTTTCCCTAACATGGGTGAAATACTAGGTTCAATCTCCAGCCCTGCAAAAAGCAGATGAAAACAGTAATAAAAACCTACAAGGCAAGCTAAAACAGATTTCTTTCTTTTTTTCCTATTTATTTATTTATTTATTTATTTGTTTATTTATTTATTTATTTAGGTTTTTCTAGACAGGGTTCCTCTCTGTAGCCCTGGCTATCCTGGAACTCACTCTGTAGCTAGGCTGGCCTTGAACTCACAGAGATCTGCCTGCCTCTGCCTCCCAAGTGCTGGGATTAAAGGCTTACACTCTCCAGCCCCCATTAAAATGTTTTGTTTTGTTTTTGTTTTTCTAAGACAGGGTCTTACTATGCAGCTGTAACTGTCCTGTTCCTCACTCTGTAGCGTAGGCTAGCCTCGAATTCACAGAGATCCACCTGCCTCTGCCTCCAAAATGCTAGGATTAAAAGCATGCTATGGCTAGATTTTAAAATTTTTATATGTTTTTATCTTTATGTGTATGTGTTTGTGAATAAGTGTGCCACACGTGTGTAGGGTGTCTGGAGAACAGAGGAAGGGGTCAGGTCTCAAGCTATAGTCTTTGAGAGCCACCTAACATGGATGTTGGGAAATGAACTCAGGTCCTCTGGAGAAGCGTCAAGCATTCTTAATCTCTGAGTCATCACTGCAGCCCAGAAAACTGAGTTTTCAAGTTAGGTGTGGTGGTGTACATTTCTATGCCAGTACTTGGGAGACGGAAGCAGGAGGATCAGGACTGCAAGGTCCTTCTTGGCTACACAGTGACTCCAAGGCCAGCCTGGGCTACATGAGATTGTCTCAAAAAAATAACCTATTTAACTTTTTGGTAATTCATTTGGAAAGTCAGCACTTAAACGGATAACCTAATGCATGCTAGGCAAGAGCTCTACCCCCAAGCTACGTTCTCCCCACATACTTTTCCTAGGTTTTTTTGTTTTGTTTGGTTGGTTTTGCTTTTACATCTGGTGCTTTCAGACATTTATAGTAAGACTATTTCAGTTACCTGATCTGCCTAGTACTTAACCAAAGCCACCAGTCCTTTGAGGAACAAGTAACTTAGCATTGCTCTTTGTCTGTAAATCAGGAGACCAGTAGGTCTCAAATTGGAAGAACAGTACATCTCTTAAGTTTAAGTTCTGAAAATGAGGCATGAGCACTAAGCATGCACAGAAGAAGTGCTGCCTGGCCTCATGCCTCAGCAAGAGCCGCATCCCCAAGTCATGATCTTGTCCAGGATTGATCCTAATCATCCAGCTTTATGCTTGATCCATAGATGACTGCTGCAGCAGTCCATCTATATTACTATAGCGAAATACCTGAGGCTTGGTAAATTACAAAGGAACGTGGTTTATTTAGCTCATGGGGTAAAAGTCATGGTGCTGCTGACCCCAGTGAGAATGCCAGACATTTGTTTGAAAGGGAGAGATCACATGGTGGATCAAAGAGACAGGGAGGGAGAGGGACCAAATTTGCTGCTGCTCCTTTGTGTGTGTGTGTGTGTGTGTGTGTGTGTGTGTGTGTGTGTACTATGAGCATGTGAGTGCAGGCTCTTGTGAAGTTCAGAGGAGACCACCAGATCCCCTGGAGCTAGAGTTACAGGCTGTTGTGAACAGCCTAACACGGTGCCAGGAACCAAATCAGATCCTCTGCATGAAGGGTACCTGCTAATAACAGAGCCATTTCTTCAGCTCTGATCTGAGCTTTTGATCCTCCTACCTCAGTCTCTTGAGTAGTTGAGTACAGGAGTACAGGTCTGTACCACCAAGCCCTGCTGTTAAATATGATATTAAGACAGGGCTTCATGCAGACCTGGGCTGGCCTTGAATTCAGTATGTAGCCAGGCTGACCTTCAATTTCTGATTGGCCTCCACTTTCCAGGAGCTGGGATCAGCCTCACGCTGTGTGCTTGGCCCTCCCTTATGTTTGTATCAGTTCATCGTCGTTTATTTATTTGTTTTTACAGTGTCGGGGACTAAACCTAAGACATTGTACATGCTTGCGAAGTGCTCTGCCACTGAGCATCACCCTAAACCTCTGTGTTGCTCTGAAAGTGGGGACTACTCCACTACAGGAAGACATCTTTGGCCACATCTTATGGGAGGCGACACAATAGTGGTTTGCTAGTGATCTATAGCACAATTTAATGTCAATGCAGAGCTGACTTTCGTATAGTGGATAATTTGATGTTTTAGGAACTCGTGGAAGGCATCTTTTCCATCCCTGTGGTCAAACAGATTGACAGAGGGGAAGCCAGTTCCATCTGCCTCCTGGTTCCTGACCATTTGGCAAGAAGGCATTTCTGGCTTTTAGGTCAACAGGACTTGCTCCTTGGGAAGAAGACCTGGCCGTGACCATCAGGAAGCAGTCTGGCTTTTCATTACAGGCCTTTCCTGACCCTGTGCCTGGGCTGTTCCCAAATCCAGAATGTTCCAAACATCCTCTGCATGTTCCTGCTCTCTCTTCCCTTCACTAGTGTCTTTGGACATCAGAGAAGCAAACTCCATGATAAACACTTGGGATGCTGGGGGCACAGTGGACAGAATGGGAAAAGGCCATCCTAACCCTCTTCCCGCCTGAAGTTTATTTCACAAGGAGTCTGTGAGGATGGTGGCATCCCTTTCCTCGGTCTGTGCTGCCCATCTCTGCCAGGGTTAAGGCTCAGCCTGCAATGCCACTGGGTGTCGCTGGTCCGGTTACTCTGGCTTCTGTGCGGGCCCACACGTGTTCAACAAGTACAGCGGGTGCTCTTGCTGGGGCCCGGGGCCACCAGGACTGGGCTGGAGTCCTGGGACAGGCCTTGCTGGGTGCTTTCCCCATAGAGGTGCAGGCTGTTGCGGGCAATCAACTCCTTCGCCATGAGCACAAAGACTTCATCTATGTTCCTGGACTCCTTGGCAGACGTCTCCAAGACAGCCAGGAGGCCGTATTTCTCGGCCAGTGTGCAGGCATCCTCAAACAGGACATGCCGCTTCTCCCACAGGTCTGATTTGTTCCCTGCAGGTAAAGGTGTGTGAATGTAACACAGCTGAGTTTATCCCAACAAACTCACTTTCTTCCCTCTCCCCTCCCCTCCCATCTTGTGCTTCTATTATTGTTATTTATGGCTTTTCCAGAAAGGGTTTCTCTATGTAGCCTTGGCTGTCCTGGACTTGCTTTGTTGACCAGGTTGGCCTTGAACTTACAGAGATCCACCAGCCTCTGCCTCCTCGAGTGCTGAGATTACAGGCATGTGCCACCACGCCTGGCTTGTGCTTTTTAAAGTAAAAAAGCAAAAACAAAAACATTTACTTACTGTGTTGGGAGTGTGGTGCAGTCACATGTCACCGCACATACATGGAGGTCAGAGGGCAACATGTAAGAGTTATTTCTCTTGGGATACTGAGGCTCGGTGGCAGGCGTCCTAATCACTTAGCCATCTTGCCTAGCTCCTCTGTGTTCTTTGAGACGGGTTGTCATGGAGCCCAGACTACCCATAAGGAATTGGCCTAGGCCCTGCTGCTGTTCTTAGAGAACACCAAATGCATCAGCCTTGAATCTGACAAATTCTGAACTCTGAAATATTTGTCCCTAGCTACCCTGCCCAGCACTTTGGTTGACATTTTAGGAGAAATCCTATATGCCAAAGAGCTTTATAAGGCAGACATCCATGTAACCGACCATAAGAAGTTTCCTCCCAAACTCCTTACTCTTATTTTTGAGACAAGGTCTCAGTGACTCAGATACACTGGCTGGCCAACGAACCGTATGGATCCTCCCATTTCCCTGCACTGGGATTACAGATGTTTGACATGGGTTCTAAGGCTCTGAACTGAGTCTTCTGACTGAAGCATCTCCCTGGACCCTCCTTTTTTTTATTTTTTTTAAGAGAGTTTCACTCTTTTTCTCGTACTAGCCTTGAACTCTCAATTTTCCTGCCTCATCATACAGAGATCTGGAATTACATGAGTGTGCCCTCAGACTTTTAGAGTTTTATAGTCCGCTACTAAGGAAAGCAAGCTGAGCACGGGCAGAGTTGGGCCAAGAAACTAGCTGCTTGGAAAGCACCCTACCGATCAGCATGATGACCAAGTTAGCTGCTCCATATTTTTCTATCTCGTGAATCCAGTGAGGGACAGACTCGAATGTGGACCGTCGTGTGAGGTCATAGGCGATGATGGCTGCGTGGGCGCTTCGGTAGTAGCTTTGGGTGATGGTACGGAAGCGCTCCTGGCCTGCAGTGTCCCACACCTGCATCTACAGAAGGACAGAAGAGATGACAGGGCGCCTCGCAAGATGATATCCCTTCACTGAAGCCATCTTACAAATAGTGTCCTGCGGGCTGGCAAGATGGCTCAGTGGGAGAAGGTTCTGCGCTGAGCCTGAGGACAGGAGTTTAACCTGGGACCCACGTGGTGAAGGGAAAGAACCTGCTCTGGCAGTTTATGCTCCTTTCACATACACATAATGGCAGACGTGCCACACAGCCACAGGTGCACACAACAAATATATACTACAACATACTTTTTAAAAGGAGAAATAAATTCCTAGGTCTTATTTCAATGCACTGAGTAGGGCCAGGCAGGGCCAAGATGTGCTCTCTGGCTTAGCAAGCACCTTGAGGGTCTCTTCTACTGATAGGAGGAGCTATTTATTCCTGAATCTTTTCTTTTGTCTTTTGGCCTCAAACATCCCTTGGCCTAGACTTTTGGGTTCATATTTCAAGTTTACCCATTAGGAAGAATTCTAGCCAAAGGGATGGCACAGGGTGAACTGCACTGGTTTTAAAGGACCAGACTGTTCTGGTCCTTACCACATCCTTACCACAATACTTTCCAGGTCACAGTCTGAAGCATCGATCACGTCAATACCACTCACACACCTTTCAATAGTGTCTAAACTTAAAAAAACAGAGAAATTTTCTTTTCTGTGTAAGTATTTTACTTGCATGTATGTGTGTCTGCGTGCACGTGCGCACCACACATGTGCCTGATGTCCACAGAGGTCAGAAGAGGACATCAGATACTTTTGAACGAGAGGTTGTGGACTGAAATGCATTGTTGTGAGCTGTCATGTGGGCGACGGGAATTAAACCTGGGTCTTTTTCAAGAGAAGGGAGCTCTGTTAACCACTCAGCCATCTCTCCACACCTGTGTATAAGTTTTCGGTTTTGTTTTTAAGATAAAGTCTCCTGTGGCCCAACCTGGTCTTAGACTCAGTATGTAGCTGAGGTTGGCCTAAAACTCTTGATCTTCCTGCTCTCACTTCCCAAGTGCTGAGATCACAGGCATGGGTCTCTAGACCTGGCACTGCTCACCAGCATATGCTCATAACGCTTATGGAAAGACTGATCTTTCGGCCTGGCTTGGTGTCTGTAATCCCAGCTATTCAGAAGGCCAACGCAAGAGGATGAAAAGTCCAAAGCCTGCCTGTGCCACAAAGCAAGTTCAATGCCAGCTTGACTTCGCCTTTTTGTTTACATTTTGCTTTTGAGATAGGGTCTGACTAAGACGTACCTCAGTGGGATGGTGTTTGCTTAACATGTACAAAGCCCTGGTCACAATCCCGAGTACCAGGAATGAAAAATGTATGTCTAGGGTTGGGTGCTACACGCGTGCCGTGATGCAGGTGTGGAAGTCAGAAGACAACTTGTGTCTAGGTCATCAGGTTTGATGGCGAGTGCCTTCACCTGCAGAGTCATCTTGCCAGCCCATCTCTCCTTTTATCTGTTAAAGAAGAAAATGCTAACATGCCACCAACCAGGAGGGAATAGAAAAATGAGTCATCTTTACTGGGATTCAATAATTATCAATTTTCCTCTTTTTGGATTCCTTGGAACTGTTCTTTGATAGCAGTCCCTTCAGCTGGACTTAAACAGTAGCTATTTTCTTTCTAAGTTTTGTTGTTGTTGTTGTTGTTGTTTTTGTTTTTTGAGACAGTTTCTCTGTGTAGCCTTGGCTGTTCTGGGCTCTCTTTGTAGACCCAGCTGGCCTTGAGCTCACAGCAATCCACCTGCCTCTGTCTCCCTGAGTGCTGGGATAACAGGCTTGCACCACTACACCCGGCTTCTTTTTAGTTTTTTTGAGACAGGGTCTCACTAGGTTACCCTGGATGGCTCAGAACTCACTAAGCAGACAATCTGCTGGCTTCAAATTTGCTGTCCTCCTCCTGCCTTTTCTTTTTAATTCTGGACTAACTGCAGTTTTCAGCTGCCAACTGACATCATTTACGTAATCACACACCATCACTGCCAACAGCTCCCTGGTGTCATTTATTAGCTATATCATACTACAATGAAAAATATATTTTAAAATATTTATTTACTTATTTATTTTGAGGCAGGATCTATGTAGCCCATGCTGGGTCCATACTTATGGTCTTCCTTCTCCAGTGTCTTCAGTACCAAGATTACAGGGATGTGACAGCATTTGCCATTATCTTTTAGTTCTTTGAGAAAAATAGTGGCTGTCTACATGTAAACCTGTGCTTGAATTATTTTTTATTACATTTTATTTATGGTGTGCACGTCCTCCGTGGTGCACATATGTGTGGGGTCAGCAGGGAAATGATCCAGATAAGGTGAGAATAAAACTTACTTTAGCCCAACTTAGCCTGCGCTAGGCCAAAGCTCTGGAGTCTGATGCCAGGCTGTTTATTTTGGCACAGCACCATTTTGGAAAAAATGTTTTCTGATGACAATTAACTCAGTCCTGTACATACAACAAAGCTTAAGACATGTTTACTTTGAGACATTTTACGCAATATAAATAGCTTTTTCTGTGAAGATGGGCTCTGTTGGCTTGCAAACAGCACTCAAGGTTTAGAGTCTAAGGAGAATGATTAAGGTAAAACCTCGCTCTTAAGGATGGGTTTAATGGTCTTAGAAACAATGCTTAGTTGCTTCTCAGCCTTTTGGCTAAGATCAAGTGTAGTGTCTGTTCTTCTCAGTTTAATATCCGATACATCCTCTATCCAAGACAATATATTAAATGGATTTTTGGAACTAGGAGTTGGCATAGGAGCTTGCTCTGTCCACTCCACGAATCGACCTGGTATTGAAGTACCTCCAGGAACGGTGCACCCCCTCGGGGGAATTAAAAAAAACAAAACAAAACAAAACAAACAAACAAACAAACAAAAAAACAATGCTCAAGATATAGGGGGAAAGGGTCTGGGATAAACAAAATACAAATTGTTGGGAATCTAGGTAGAGCCTCTTTTCACAGAAAGCAAAGGGTCACCAGGTTATAAACCATTATCTCTTGTTAGCATTTCCAGAGGAAGACAGGTAAATCTCCTGCCTTTGAAGAGATAGGCCCCTGTGTTTCCTTTTCCTGGCTTCTCCAGTGCTTATCTGTGTGTACAAGGACCTCTTAACCACTACACGTGTGGGGCAGAACAGAGGGAACAGAGGGAAGGGACTCGGGTCATCAGACTTGGGAACAAGCTATCATGCTATTACAAAATTTTGTTGTTACAAAATTTGTGAAACAAGTTTTTTTTGTTTTTTGTTTTCCTATTCTATAGCCACTTTTTAATATTTGGTCATTGGTCTTTTGTCTTATATAGCTCTGGGGAGCCTTGAAGTCACAGAAGTCCAGTTGCCTCTGCCTAAAGCATGCACTACCACAGCTAGCTCTGGTTATTTTGAGACAGGGTTTTTATTATGTGGCTTAGCGTGGTTTGGGCCAGGCTGGCCTTAATCTGTTCACCTCGGTGTTATGCTGGGGTTATAGATATGTACTAACGCATAGTTTTCTCTTAGTCATTTATCAAAGTTCTTTTCATATTAAAGAACCTTAGCTCTTCCTCATATTGCAAATATTTCTAGTTTGTCATCCCTCCTTTGACTGTCATATTTGTGGTCTGTAGTAATTATGACCTTTAGGTAGACTTAGCAACCTCTTCTTTTATGGCTTCTGTGTTTATACCTTACTTAAAATGGGGACTCGGGCTAACTAAAACAACAACAAAAGGACAAAACAAACAAACAAACAAACAAACAAACAAAAACCCACCAAAAACAAAGTGCAGAGCTCCCCCCTGTTGGGATCAGCAAGCTAACACCCCCATGGCCCTCTGACCTTCACTTTCTTGCCGTCTATCTCCAGGGAGCGCACTGTGAAGTCCACCCCGATGGTGTTCTGCTGTGACTCACTGTAGACTCCAGATTTGAAATGCTGTACCACACACGTCTTCCCCACATTGGAATCTCCAATGAGGATGATCTTGAACAAATAGTCCACATTCTCATCTGCTGCTCTGACTGAGCTGGAGAACTGCATGGCTCTGGCTTACTAAAACAGACCTCGGAAGGAAAGACAACATTCAGTGTTCTGCTAGTGAGCACCTGCCAGGCTCCAGCACAGAGGATCCAACAGAAGACAAACTGGGTAGCACTCTATTTTTCTCAACCAGAAAATTAGAATTTTGAGGATATTAAAAATTAAAACTGCAGTTAGAATGATATGGCAGGGCCAGGTGTGGTGGCTCACAACTTTAATCCCAGCACTCAGTAGAGGTAGGTGGATCTCTATGAGTTCAAGGCTAGCCTGGTCTACCTAGCAAGCTCCAGGATAGCTAAGGCTACATAGTGAAAGTCAGGATCTGGGGGAAAGAACATGATGGGAAATTTTAGTATGGAAAAAGAAAATAACTTAAAAGTTTCTAATGATTCTATTTGCCAAATTCAATGATTATCAGAATTAGCCGGAGGTGATAATTAAAAATATGTATTCTCAAGCCGGGTGGTGGTAGCGCACTTCTTTAATCCTAGTACTCGGGAGGCAGAGGCAGGCAGATCTCTGTGAGTTCAAGGCCAGCCTGGTATACAGAGAGTTCCAGGACAATCATAGCTATGCAGAGAAACCCCGTCTTGAAAAACAAAACAACAAAAAACAACAACAAAAAGTATTCTTCAAAGCCATCCCAGACCCACGACATCTATCTATGTATCTATCTATAAATTTTTACATTTACATATATATTTAATTTATGAGACTGGAGAGATGACTCAGTAGTTAAGAGCATTGGCTGCTCTTTCAGAGGACCCAGGTTTGGTTCCTGGAACCCACATGGTAGCTCACAACCATCTGTAACTCCAGTTCCAGGGAATCCAACACTGTCTTCTGGCCTTTGTAGGCACTGCATGCATGCGGAACACAGACATATATGCAGACAAAACACCCATACACATAAGATACAAATAAATACATTAAGAAACATGTTTTTACTTTATATATGTTTACATTAAAAAAAAAAAAAAGGCAGATGTGGTCTTGCGCTTGCAAACCTGATTGGTCAGGCATCCTAGCCTTCCCAGGGAACTCCAGAAACGGCAGGTCCTGTCTCTAAGGGCAGCTGAGGATGACACATGAGGTTGGTCCCTCGCTGCTGCATGAAGTGTGCACACATGAACACACGAAAATAAAAATAAAGACAATGACAAGTGCACAGGTTTCCCAGGTGAATCTGATGAGAGTTGTTGAGGGAGCTGAACCCCCACACACACACTTTCAGCCTCTCTGTTTCAGTATTCACCTGTGCTTAAACAGCTTCAATCTCAAGGACCTCCATTTCTCTTGAATGCAACTGTACACAGGGGCAGCTCTGCATTCTATGAGCTGAAACCTGTCTCTCTGGGATTTCTCGCTGTCAGTCTCAGAGTTCCCCTTGTTCTGTAACAGCATGTTGAATTCCTAGTCCGAGTCCGAGCGACAACTCAGCAGATATTTGAAGCTGCGAGCATATTCCCGCAAGGGCAGCTACTTAGGCATTTAAGCCCTCCTTCACATATTTATTAGGTCTCCTCACCTAATAGCTCCTGAGACCAAAACACCCCCTTTGATGATTGAATTTGAGATTCAGTAAGCTGCTCCTGCCTTATGACACCCTCATTTTCCCCTGATGTATTCTTTGGTTTTCTCTGATGCCACAGAAAAGCCCACGTCTGTATTGACAGACAAGTAAAAATGCACACAAATGTCAAGTCTACACGTACAAGGAAAGGCTTTAAAGAGACAAGGAGTGGTCTAGTACCTGTTTGGATGCCCCTGAAATCACATGGAGAAATCCAGCAGACAAGAAGCACAATCAAACCACCTTTTTTCCCCTTCAGCGTCTTTTCAACTGAAGAAAACCATTCTACTTCCGGTATCTTATCACTGTAACTTGAGCTGAAACCTTGTTTCCAAGTCCCTTTTCTCTTCTTTCCCCTGAAAGTGCCCTGGGTTACATAAAAGTCCCCTTTAAGCTAGCATACAAGCCCTGCCAGGGGAAACAGAGTCCTCCCAAACACCATTCCACACACACCCCCCACGCCCCCGCAGCCTTTACCTCCTAGGTTCACCTGTTGCTTACCTGTCCCGTCTCTCACCTCGCTGGCGAGCGGGTACTGTTTGTTCTTCTCCTGGTTTCCTTTGCAGCCCTCAGTGCCCTTCTTCCTCCTGCCTTGCTGCGTGGTGGGAACTGTAGTTCCGGCCCCTGGCGTCAGGTTGGTGGCCGAGAAAGCGAAAGGGGAACAAGGGCAATCCCTCCCACCTGCAAGGAGCCTGAAGCTCCAGGTAAGGGACCAGCACACACAGCTAGCTTTCCTGGCAGAATTTCTCAGACCAGAAACGACCAGAGAGGAACTGCCTTTCACTCAACTGACACCTGTTACGCTTCCGTGTTCCTTCCTTGGCTCCTCACCCTTCATCTTACATCCTGCCTGATACTCTTGTTTGGCTGTTAAACTGAGATGACATCAACCTAAAGGCATAAAATGGGTCTTGAGTGACTTTTGTGAAGTCATTGGAAGAAAGGAGGTGCTCAAGCAGCTTAAAAAGGTAAACCAAGGGCTGGGGAGATGGCTCAGCGGTTAAGAGTAGTGTCTGCTCTTCCGGAGGACTCGGGTTCAGTTCCCAGCATTCATGTTATGAAGCCCTGAAACACGAGACAATTGTTCCCCATTCAAGAACATTGTGTCTGTGACGCCTTCAAATAACCTTTAAGTTGTGACTCATCTTACCCCAAATTTTACCCTCACAATGATTTTTAGCAAGGTAACTCACAGCTAGGTGGCTTCTCACACCATCTGGGGTGAGAAAAAACAAATGCTGCTGTTGACTGTGGCTTTGAGAGCCACTGTCGCATGAGTAAGCCTGAGTAACTCGGAAACTGAATATAGGTCAAGACCTACCGCAAATATGAGGGCTGGGGCAGGAAACAGGAGCCTGCAAGGTCAGCGTCAGTGAGGGGAGCTGTAAACGTTTTCTTCCTTTCTGTCGGTAGCGATTGCTGGGGTTTTTGTTTTTTGTTTTGTTTTGTTTTGTTTTGCTTTTTGTGTTTTTTAAAGTCAGTTGTCTCAGACCAAGCCACGTTACACACTGGGAGAGCATCTAGAGGTGGAAATTAAGGGTTAAAATAGCATGCTGGATGCCTTTCTTCTTTGTTTTTGTTTTTATTTTTCAATTAACTGATTATTTTTAAATGTTAATTTATGAGAATGAGTGTGTTTCTCTCTGTGTGTATGCCTCATGCACATTTGGGTCCTGAGGAGACCAGAAAGAAGCATAGGATCCCTTGGAACTAGAGTTATGGCAGCTTGTGAGCTGCCTGAAATGGGTGCTAGGAACTGAACCAGGTCCTCTGGAAGAGCAGCAATTGGTTTTCACCCTTGGACCATCTCCCTAGCACCTTCATCTCCCCTTCTACTTTATTTTAAAATCCACCAATGGAAAACCGAAATGCATACGCTCTGGAAATCTGCTTACTGGGTCCTGCTTTTTGCCCACACCTGTGTCCGTCGGAGGCGCTTCCCCTGCAGCCTGGGTGACTGCGTCCTCCCTTTATCTGACTCTCCCTCGTTTTAGTTTATTGTGCTGTGTAAGGTGTTTTGCTTGCACACATGTCTGCGCACCAGGTGCATGCCTGGTGCTGGAGGAGGTCAGAAGAGGCCGTCAACTCCTCTGGAGTTACAGACAGTTGTGAGGCACCATGGAGAGGCTAGGGATTGAACCCAGGTCCTCTGGAAGCGCAACCAGCTTGCCAGCCCCTCATTGTCTTTTTTGTGTGCACCCTAAGCTGTAAAACAAAGAAACAAACAATCTGATGTCTCTGTGTGGGGGTTTGGGGCCATTGAGCTACTTTTAGGCGATCCTAAGGCTTTCTGCATTAGCTTATTATCAGGCTCTCTTCTGCTGAGGGGTCTTGGGTCTGTTGCTGTGGCTTCAGCTCTCCTAGCCAGAACCCTTTAAGCCTTTGGTAAGATTTGGCTAAAAGTTGGTATGCAAGTCAAGAGACATTTGTCAGACTTCACTGCTGCCTTAAGATTAACTGTGAAATGAACCAGGTACAGGAGAACCTCGGAGAGCAACTTTTGTAATGTTTGACGACATGGAGGTGCTCCGGGAGCCTGCTTATCTGCATGTTTCCTGTTCATCACGATTTGAGGGATCTTGTTCTGACGGTTGGAAGTATAAGGAAGTGTTCTTATTACCTGGTCTTGGATACCCCAAAAGAGGAGATTTAGTGGCAGCAGTGAGATCTTCCTCCTCCTCCTCTTCCTCCTTTTCTTCTTTTTCCTTTTCCTCCTCTTTTTCCTCTCCTCTCCTTTTTATGTTTTTATGTGTTTTTGTATGTCTATGTGAGAGTATGCTGTGTGTGTGCAGGGCCCACAGATGTCGGGTCCTCTGGAATTGGAGTTATGAATGTGGGTCCTGGAAACCAAACCTGAGTCTCTTGGAAGAGCTTGTAACTGCTGAGCCATCTCTCCAGCCGCATTTAAAAAATGCACTCATTTATTTATTTATTTATTTATTTATCTATTTATTTATTTATTTATTTATTTAATCATCTCTCCAGCCCCGCTGCTGGGGATTTTAAGATGCATGATTCATTTTGGTGGGATGGCAATGGGGTGTAGAGCCACGAATACTAACAGGTGACTGTTCCTACCTATATGGACAATTACTTAATTAAACAAGAATCTAAAGCAGAATAAGATCTCTTTAAAAAAAAATCTTCTCAAATTATATCGGTTCTTCTCAAATTATATCTCTCATTCATTGCTCTTTTCAGCTAACATTTCTGGCCACTGTCACCGCCTGCAGGAGCCCAGTTAAACCCTACCTTTAGGCTCCGAAGCTCTCAGGTGAGGCGGCACTGGCGGACTACAGTTCCCGGCATGCCTCGTAGCGCGGTCACGTGAGCGTCCGGAAGCTCTGGCCACATAGTGTTGGGTGAGGTGGCGGCGGGGGCGGCGGCGGCGGAGTCTAGCGGAGCGGCCACTTCGGCGGGTCTCAGGTGCGAGCCTGCGTGCACCCGGGTGCTTGGGGCCCTGGCGGGGCTGGGCGCACGGGGGGCCTCGGGAGCGGGCCGCCGGTGGGTGTGGCGGCGCGGCTGGCCGCTGGCCCCCGCTGGCCCCGACCCGGACCCACCGGAGCTCCTGGTGCGGCGCTGCGCGGTCCTGAGGCTGCGTGCACCACCCGGGGAGGGGGACACCCGAGAGGGAAGGTGGCCCCGGCTCACGCAGACCCTCTGGGTGGGAGACACTTGTTCCCCTCGGCCCACCGGTCCCCTGGCCTTGGATCATGGGACATTTGAACTGAAGAAACCCAAGAAGAGGGCTGCTGGTTTAACAAGAGGAGGGCCACGTTTTGGGTAGGGTGGGAGGCTTTTGGATAGGATACACCGCGATCAGAGAGAGAAAACGGACTTCGTGGAGAAGCGAGGGTTTTGTTTTCTAGTAACTACCGCGACCTCAGTTGAGGAATTCGACCCTGTTCCTTATTCCTCATTCTTTGCCTCGCCTTATTTGCAGAGTGTGACCTTTTCTTAATTTTGGTAGGACAGTGGGAATGTGTCCACGTAGTTTTAATGTTTCCTGAAATACGTTACGTGATGCCTTGTAACTTACTGAAACGTTTAGAGGAAACATAGTTGTCCGGGCGAGCAAAAGCAGACTCATAATTTCTAACCTCTTTAAACATTGCTTGGTATCTTCGAAACAATCGCTGATGAAGACTTGCCTCGACTGCTTTGACGGTTGAATTATTTCTTTGCCACTGCCAGATGTTTCCTATATAATCGACTCTACCGTAAAAACAACAGTAAATCGTTTTATTTAATCCTTAAATGAGGAAATTGAGCCTCAAAGAAGTGAATTAAGTGGACTTGAACTTTAGTGTCTGAGCAATGTGTGGTCCCTCTCTGGCTTTCGGGAGCAAGGTCAGTGTTCATTGTTTAAGGTTCTGGATGGCTGCCTGGTCATCAGTGAGGATGTCATCCATTGCGGTTACCGTTGGCATGATTTGTGGTTTGTCTCATGGAGGGAGGAGAAAGTAGTTGTCTTTGAAACATGTCCGAAAAAAATAGAAAATCGGGAGAATATAACTTAGGAACCCTGGCATAAACCAAATGTGGTTTTTAGAAACCCTGAAACAGATAGCTAGGTCCTTAACGTTTGTGCTAATGAGGCAACTTTAAGAAAAAAGGATTACTAGATTTGGTGTGTGTGTGTGTAAAGAGAAAGGATGTACATGATAACAGTAAATGGCCCCTAGTTAGATGACAAGAGCTCAAAAATACCGTTTAAGTGCTGAGCATTCACATGTCTGTGAAAGCGCCAAGCTCATCCGTCCAGGCCTTCCTATACACCAGTACTCTGAGTACACGGAATCTTTTTACTTTGGGTGTGTGAAACCAAACCCTTGATAGTCAGGTGGTTGCCAGCTCTGTACCTTTGAGGGTGTGAGGGAGCCACATGTGTAAGTTGGACTTTTCCCGTCCTAAACTGCATACCAGTGAGGTTAACCTGTGGTGATTCTAAGTATTATGTTTTACAAAGCCTGGGGTGTTTTCTCTTTTAACTTTTTCACTTACACAATATAATCTGGAGTCTAGTTAGGTCTGGGTTTGAAAAGAATGTTTTGTCCCTTGAGAGAGATTATTTTCTGATATCTATTTCTAATCTGAAAAATACCCGGAGAGCGGACTATGATTATATATGAAAAGTACCTCTCAGCGTCCTGCTACCTTGTAGGCATTCAACTAAAGAAATCATTGACAAATTTTTTGTTTGTTTTTTGATGTGTCTAAGTGCTCCTTGGGGACACAGCTGTGGACTTAGGACAGAGAATGCCACTGTTTTTTATGGAGTGTTTAGATAAACAATAAACATGTAAATCATTAAAGAAACAGAACTGGGAATAAAAACATTCATTCATTTTCCATTGGTACTGGATTTGAACCCAGGCCCTTGCATATGTATGCAGGCAAGTGCTCTGTACCACTCTTTATTTAGCTCTATTTCATTTTTGTTTTGAGACAGGATCTCATGGTTGCCCAGCCGTCATCTGTTATTGTAGTTCATACGCCTGGGTGCTCAAACAGTCTTCTTAGCTCTACCTCCCTCATAGCTGGGGCAGTGTGCCATGATATCCTTGAACTTTAGTGTCTGAGCAATGTGTGGTCCCTCTCTGGCTTTCATGTCTCCTCTGCCATGCCTGCCTTTCTTTTTCTTTCTTCCTTCCTTTCTTCCTTCCTTCCTTCTTTCCTTTCTTCTCTTCTGTCCTCTCCCCTCCCCTTCCCTCCCCTCCTCTTTTGCTGCCACTTAGGGAGGTGACATCTGAGTAATGAGGGAAAAAAAAAAAGGAGTAAGCTATTGTAAAGAATCAAGAGAAAAGCAAAAGGCCCAAAGGAGATAGCTTGGTGGATTCCGGGATTGGAGATAGGGGTGTTGGGAGGTTGGAGAGGGGAGGAGGCAAGTGGACAAAGAGATTGTGGCCTGACAGAGGATTGGAAGCCATTCAATCCTGCCCGTTGTGGGGACTGGTGAAATAAAGATTGGTTCACAAAATGGGAATTTCATATGCTTAGAAACAGCAGGTAGGTAGGTACTGAGAAAATAGACTGCCTGTGATGGTGAAGAAGAAAAGGTACCAAGTTGTGTGTATTGTGTGATTGGAGGTATGTTTATCTGAAGGGGCTCAGCCTGGGGTGAATGCAAGAACAGGAAAGGAAGCCTGTTCCTTCATCAGTAGGCTAAGCTACTGATGAACTCATACCAAACAGGCCGGGAGGAGGTTAGGATGCTACTAACTTCATCAGTAGGCTAAGCTGCTGATGAACTCATATCAAACAGGCCGGGAGGAGGTTAGGATGCTAACTTCATCAATAGGCTAAGCTACTGATGAACTCATACCAAACAGGCCGGGAGGAGGTCAGTCTTGATGGAAGTAGATCAGGGGGCCTGCCTTTGGACGGCATTCAGATCTTGGCTTTGCCTGCCACTTGTTGCTCCCTTTGCTTCCATGGCTGCTGTGAGGTTAGCATCACTCCTCTGCCATGCCCTTTCTTCTTGATGTTCTTCTGCCTTGCTGTAGCTCTGAGTCAGTTGAACCAAGTATGGACTGACGCCTCTGAAACTGCAAGGCAATAGAAATCTTTCTTTTAAGTCATTTGCATCAGGCAGTCACAGTAATGGGAAAGCTAACACATCTGCCTTGCTTGTCTCTAACCAATTGGAAAATAAAATAAAACCCTCAACCTGTGCAGCTCAATCATCCACTTGTGCAGCCCTGACCAGGCCCCATCCATTCCCTGTCCCTTAATCATACTCAATTCCCGCAGGAGACTAAGACAGATAGTCTGGGAAGGCTCTGCAAAAAGTTTGTTTTTTATCTATCTCTTGGAAAGCCATCAGAGGTTATAAACAGAAGTTAACTTATCACCCGTGTGTTTTGGGGGGTCGGGGCTAAAGATGAAGCAAATGTGGCAGCGGAGTCTCGCGTACTGTAGGTGGGCACGCTACTGTTGTGCTGCATCCTCGCCCTTGACTTGTGTGTTTTGGGGACAGTCTTTCTGTGTAGCTCAGGCTGACCTCCAAGTCAACAGTCTTCTTGCCTCAGCCTCCTGAGTGCCCTGTTTACCTATGTGTCACCTGCCTGATGGTCTGATTAATGTTATAAGATGTAGTTTTGCCAATCTGTGAGGAATAGGGAGAAAAATCCTCTTAAACAGGTGGCAGATGAGAGCAGGTCACCTTAGGGTAGTGGCAAGGGGTTAATTGCGGTATATGTTGGATAAAAGGACCGTCCTTAATAATGGGCTGGATGTGGAACCTCAGAGAAAAGGGAGAATGAAGAAGAAATCCCGTCTGCTTGGTCCACAGGAGGGATGGAGGTGTTATTTCTGAGGCAGAAAATCCCAGGGGAGGGATAAATTTGGAGGTAATGGATCCTAGTTTAGACCTGTGGAGGTCTGTCATGTAGTCAGTTGGAACCACAGAGTGTGGGGGTTCCAACACTCTGTGCTATAAACCTGGGAGGTGTCCCCACAAAGCCACGGGACTGGTCGATAGAGCAGAGCAAGCTACTGGGAGTTTAGAAAGGAAAGAGAAAAAGCGCTGCCGCAGAGGTTGAGAAAGCAAGATTGTTAGGGAAGTGTGGGAGGCTTGCCGAGCAGTGGTGCCCTTTGAGGTTTGCGGTTGAATCTGAAGTCATCCGCCTGTGTGATTTTTCTCTTGACAGAACTCAGCTGTGAGGATACAGGGAAGGAAGTGGGCCAGCCTGGGGGAAGAAAGGACTCCTTGGGGAGATGGCATGTAATCTGGTAAGGAGGCGTGGGTAAGGGAGGAGCCCGGTTGGGTGAAATAAGTGTTGGAGCTTGAAGTATCAAAGGCAAGGATGTTCAGAAATGCATCGTGGGAGCTCACAGGCCTGAGTTTCACTCATGGTGTGAGGTTTCTTGGGGAGTCAGGGGAAGAGTAAGTGAAGAAGACATAGGACTGCAGAGGGGTCTTAAGGGGGACTCCTTCCTCTTCCAGTTGGCTGCTTAAATACTCCAAAAGCAAAGGGGAAGGGCCTGTAGAGCAGGAGCTGTCCAGTGTGGAGGGCTGCTGCTGGAGATCAGAGTGCTGGTAGTGAGTTGGCAACAAGAGTGTCACGGGAAAATGGTGTGAAAGCTGCCCTGGGCACAAGGTGGGCATGGACCTTTATACTGCTGACGTAGATGGGCTGTGAGAAAGCTGCTCTGGGCACACGGTGGGCATGGACCCTTATGTTGCTGACATAGATGGGCTGTGAGAGGAGCGGTTGCTTCTTGAGGGGCGTAGAGACAACATCTCTAAGGACATGGGTTAATTAGCTCGCTCTGGGTTTCCGGAGAGCCTGGTGGGAAGGGTAGACTGTTCAGAGTGTTGGTGGGTACTGTTGTATGGCTTCTCTTCCACCAGTTCCCATTTTCATTGTGCTGTGGACTTCAAAGCATTACTAGAACAGAACGTTTTCATCTTAAAAATTGTGTGTATGTACGTTATATATGTATGCATGCATTCGTGTATGTATGTATTGAGATAGGGTCTGCTGTGTAATAGCCCAGGCTGGCTCAGTGGTAGTCAGCCTGTCCCAGTCTCCCAATCACTGGTATTACAGCACTGCCTCAGCATCCCAGCACAAGATTCCTTCAAAGGCTTACTATATTTGGGTTGGAACAAACTGTAACTCTTTCTCTGGAAGTGAAATAGTGGGTCACACTTACAACCCCAGCACTTAAGGGAGAGCAGGAGGAGTGCTTCAAATTCCAGGTCAGCCTGGGCTACACAGGAAGACTATGTTTAAACAAAAAGAAAGTAGAATTCTAGGAGCATCAATGTAACAACTTAGGGAAATGTATTCCAAAGCAGCATTGAGTAGGATGACATTTTCTCCAGCTTGTGGCAGGATAAAGCCATCTTACATCATAGTGCACTTATGTTCTTTTCTACAGAGCACACACACCACACACACACACACACACACACACACACACCAAGGTGCCACGGTACACATACAGAGGCCAGAAAACAACTTGTGGAGCCGGTGCTTTCTGCCTTGCATGAGTTCCAAGAATTGAATTAGGGGGCCGTCTTGGCCCTAGGTGCCTTCACCTGCTGAGCCGTCTTGCTGCTCCCACCCTCATAAGTTAACTTTTTATTGTGTGTAATATGATGTGTAAGTGTTGGCGTGGACGAGCCCCAGCATGCATGTGCAGCTTAGAGGATGGCTTGGTGAGGTGGGTTCCAGGGATGCAATCCAGATCGCCAGGCTTGTTCAGTCAGTGCCCGTCTGCCGAGACATCTTGCTGGTGCATGGGCGTGCGTGCGCACACATACACTTAAATACAAATGTACATGTGTGTGTATATATATCTATGAATTTATATGTGTTTATATATGTATATGTGTGTGTATATATATTACTACTTTTAATGGTCTTTTAGGGTAAGAAAAAGCCTCATTACAAAAATCATATTGCTTAGTGGTTGTGAGCTTGTTTTAAAATGCAGAAAGTGGGTTTAGTGGTTCTGGATCTGATTGATGGCAGAGGTCTGTGTTTAGTTTTGTTTTTATGCAGTGCTTGGGATTGAACCCAGGGCCTGTGAATGTCAGGAATGCCCTCTTCCACTGTGCTATAGTTCCCATTCCTGAGATCTTTTTTATTACTTATGTAGCTCTGGCTGGTTTGGAGCTCTCTAGGTAGACCAGGCTGAACTCATAGACCTTGAACTCATAGAGATCTGCCTATCTCTTGTTGCTTTTTGTTTTTGAGACAGGATTTCTCTGTGTGTAGCTTTGGCTGTCCTGGAACTGGCTCTGTAGAGCAGGCTGGCCTGGAACTCAGAGATCAGGTTGGTGCCTCTGCATCCCAAATTCTGGGATTAAAGGCATGTTTCACCACCACCTGGGTCCAAGACCTTTTTTTGTGTGTGTGTGTAGCCTTGGCCGTCCTGGACTCACTCTGTAGTCCAGGCTGGCTTCAAACTCAGTCTGCCTGCCTCTGCCTCCCTGTGCTGGGACTACAGGTATGTGCCACCACGCCAGGCTCCCAGGACCTTACTTTTAACATTTTAGTTTATTATTATTATTATTATTTTTACTTTTAAGGTAACAGTGTAGAAGGTTGAGAGTTATTGGTAAAAGGATACAAAATTTCCTTCAGAAAGGAGGACTAAGCTGAAGTTCCTATTGTATATCATGGTAACTGTAATAATAACAATGTATCTTGTAGATTTTAAGTATTTTTTTTTCATAGAAAATGATAACCCAGTGAGGCAATTAATTTGTTCATTCCCTTGATGGAGTCATTCCACAAGGTTTACATATTCTAAGATAGACTGTATATGGCAAGTGTGTACTTTATTTTGTGAATTTAAAAAATATATGAAAAGCTAGGGCTGGCTGCTTGGTAGGGCTTGCTTTTAAAAGTGTGATGACCTGAGTTAGACCCCTGTAATGCAAGATGGGAGGGGGAATGGACTCCCAAAATATTCGTGTGACCTCCATGGCATAGCTTAGCATGCATGCTCAGATTCTCACACTCTCTCCCAGTAGTAAGTAAATACACACATAGATAATAAGAAAAGCTAATTCTTAGCACTGTTAACATGATAGTTCTGTGTTCGGTGATCACACTGAGAAAATACTAAAGTTACTATGACATCAGAAACACAGAAATCTGGTTTCAGTAAGTGGGGTGTGATGGTACCTGAAGTCTTAGTGCTTGGGAGGCTAAGGCAGGAGGATTGCTGAGGTTGGAGGACAGCTTGGACTACATAGTGAGTTTGAGGTTAGCCTGGACTCCATAGCGAGACGTGTCCTTATATATTTTTTTGAATTTTGTTTTTGTGTTTGTTAGTGTTTTGCCTGTGTGTATGTCTGCCTAATACCTGCAGTGGTCAGAAGAGGGCATCAGATTCCCTGGAACTGGAGTACAGAGAGTTGTGAGCCACCATGTGGATATTAGTGCTCTTAACTGCTGAGCCATCTCTTCAGACGCAGGGATGTGTCTTTAGGGGGAAAGTAAGCTGGGACCTGGCAGACATGGTGGTGCGTGCCTTTAATCCCCCCGGCAGAGGCAGGTGGATCTCTGTGAGTTTGAGGCCGGCCTGGTCTACCAAGAGAGTTCCAGAATAGTCAGGGATGTGACATAGAGAAACCCTGTCTTAAGAGAAAAACCAAAAAAAAAAAAGAAAAGTAAGATGGGTATGATGGTATACATCTTTAATTACAGCACTTGGGAGGCAGAGTCTCTTCTGAGCTTAAGGCCAGCATGGTCCACATATTGAATTCCAGGCTAGCAGAGGCTATATAGCAAGACCCCGTTTTTGTTTTAAAGATTTATTTATTTTACATATATATGAGTGCTCTATCTGCATGTGGACCTGAATGCCAGAGAGAACATCAAATCGCAGTATAGATGGTTGTGAGCCACCATGTGGTTGCTGGGAATTGAACTCAGGACCTCTGGAAGAGCAGACAGTGTTCTTAACCTCTGAGCCAGCCTCCGTAGCTCATTTGGTAGAGTGTGCTTAGCATGTAGGAAGTCCTGGGTTTGATTTCCAACTGTAATCTTAGCACTGTTGGGTAGTGGAAGAAAGCAAGATGATCAAGTCAGCCTTGACTACAGAGAGTGTCCAAGGTCAGCTTAGGTAGGGTACCCAGACCCTCCCTGATTAGAAAGAGAGGGAAAAGGAAGTGCCTAAACTAATAAAGAAATTGGGCTTTGTTGATTGTAACAGAATGGCTAAACTTGAGAAGCACATGCGCAACGAGTGCTCAGAGTGTTGGGTAATGGCGAAAGCAGGGTGCGCGGACGGACATCCAGACCTGGCAGAAATGAATTCCTGTGCTCAGGGGCCCCCAGCCCACATCTGATTGGAAGCTGTCTGTCTCTGGGCTATGGAGGCTGTATGTGCAGTGTTCTTTTTGATTATTCCAATTACATAGGGCCAAATGGTATAATAATATTCATTTGAGCTGGCAGTCTGCCAATAGCAGGTGACTATTTAAAACTGTTTTCGCCATGTGTTTATTAAAACTTTTCTCTTTCATCTCTATGGCTTAGGATAAGGTGGTTTATTTAGAAGCTAAATTCACATGGTCTCAGTAAACATCCATCCATCCATACATACATACATACATATTCATGTGGTTCTGAATTATACAACTATCACTGCTAAAGCAATAGTAATCTCAATTCATTGAGTTTTAGTGTAGTTATTCATTTATTTTGGTCACACTTATCTGTGTGTCGGGGGATGGTGCCCATCAGCTTGTTGGAGAGAGTTGGTTGTCTCCTCCCTGTGTGGGTCCTGGGGGTCCAACTCAGGTCATCAGGCTTGGCAGCACGTGTCCTAAAGGACTGAGCCACTCAGCTCTTACATTACTGAAGAGCTGGCCTTGGCTCTCATATTACACTTTGCATTTTATATCTTATACTCTTAGAGTGTTTTGAGGTGGAATGTGTTCAGGTAATAGAACTGGTTCCTTTCACCCCCCATTTTTTTTTTTTGTCTTATGTAGCCTCAGACTGGCCTAGGACTCACTATATCAAGGATGACCTTGAATTTCTGATGCCTCTGCCTCCACCTCTTCAGTGATGGCATTACAGGCATGCATCATCATGCCTGGTTTATATGGTGCCAGGGATCAAACTCGGAGCTTCCCATTTGCCGGGCAAGCACTCTGACAAGACCAAGAACTGTAATTTTAGTAGCAATATTTGATAGCTCTTGTTTTCGAACTTCTGGAATTATAAAGTTTTTTATTGTGTCAGAATTTTTAGGAGTCTTACTGTCCTTATAAATGTCCTCATTTTCCAGAAGGAATGATTTTAAAAGTGAAATTAGCTACATTCTGTTTCTCTGTGGCTAAAACACTTATCTTTCGGGGGATGTTCAGTTACTTGTTCTGCACCCTGGGCTAGTCTTGAACTTTTGATTCTGCCTCACTCTCCTGCATACTAGGATTGTGAGCCACCATGTGGTTGCTGGGAATCGAACCCAGGACCTCTGCGAGAGCCGACAGTGCTCTTAGCCACTGAGCCATCTCTCCAGCTCCCTCTAGGTTTTTTTAAAGATTTATTATTATTATTATTTATTATGTGTGTATGCATGTAGGTCTGTGCACATGAGTGCAGGTTCCCACAGAGGCCAGATGCAGCAGATCCCCTAGCGTTGGAGCTAGACATTGTGAGCTGCCTGATAGAGATGCTGGGAAGTGAACTCGGGTCCTCTGGAAGCTCAGTCCATGCTCCCAGCACTGAGCCCTCCTCAGCCCTGTGCAGATATTTTCTTATTTTAATCAGAGTTTCTTAGAACTTTTGTTTTTAAATTTACTATCTCAGTTCTTCTGAGTTGTTCTTTTACTTCCTTTGGTTTTTCTGTAAGAATGAGTACCTTTCTTCTAGTTTGCACGACTGTTCCTTCTCCTTCTCCCACCGCAGGACTAGCCAGCGACTACAAAACATAATATATATATATATATATATATATAGTTACTTTTTTAACTTTTATTAATTACACTTTATTCACTTTTTATTCCCCCATAAACCCCTCCCTCCTCCCCTCCCAATCCCACCTTCCCTCCTTTTTCACGAATGCCCTTCCCTAAGTCCACTGATAGCGGAGGTCCCCCTCTCCTTTCTGATCTTAGTCTATCAGATCTCATCAGGAGTGGCTGCATTGTCTTCCTCTGTGGCCTGGTAAGGCTGCGCCCCCCCCCCCCTCAGGGGGAGGTGATCAAAGAGCAGGCCAATCAGTTCATGTCAGAGACAGTTCCTGTTCCCATTACTATGGAAGCCACATGGTCACTGAACTGCCATGGGCTACATCTGTGCAGGGGTTCTAGGTTATCTCCCTGCATGGTACTTTGTTGGAGTATAAGACTCTGGAAAGACCCCTGTGTTCAAATTTTCTGGTTCTGTTGCTCTCCTTGTGGGGTTCTTATCCTCTCCAGATCTTACTATTTTCAATTGAGTTTTCTGGTACTGGGTACCCCATGAGATGACAGTGTGATTATTTGTTACCTGGTCATAAACCTACCAATTCAGACTTTATAAAATTTATTTCAGTATTTCAGAGAGTATATGTGTGTGTGTGTGTGTCTATATCTTTCTCTCTCTCTGTATGTGTGTGTGTTTGAGACCTGTCTCCTGTAGCCCAGTTTGGCTTCAGACTTAATTTGTAGCTGAAGATGACCTTGAGCTAACTCTCCATCCTTCTGCCTCAGCTTTCCAAGTGCTGAAATTACAGGTGTGTGTCAACAGGTCTGCTTTTTGTGTGAAAAAAAAAAAAAAAAAGTCAATAATGTGTCTTTTTCTTTCCAGAAAGAAGAAACAATGTAATTGAGTCACTCTGAGGACTTTGAGGTCCAGGTGAAGAGGGAGGTGGGAAGAGCATGGCCTGGCCGAGATTTTTGCAGAGGGGAGCTCTGCTCCCTGGCTTCAGCCATCACCATGTCGCCGTGTTCCTGCTCACTTTCTTCAGGTAACGGCTTGCTGATATGCTTGTCTTTTGCCTTTGGGAACGATACTGCATCAGATAGCCAAGTGTGCTGGTTGGCACAGGCCGCCAGAGAAATAGATAGCTTCCTTGTTTGTTGTTTTGAGATAAGGTTTCTCCGTGATACCTTCCTTTTGCATATGTGTTTTTTGGGGGCGCGTGGAACTCACAGCGTCAAGCATGCGGAGCGCATGTGCTGTCACGAGCTGCACCTCTGGCTCTCAGTTGTACTTTTTCTCCCCTAAATATTTAATAACACCCTTGTAAGGCAACTTTTTGAGATAAGGTCTTACCATGTCAACCTGGCTATGTAGACCAGGCTGGCCTTGAACTTACAGAGATCCACTTGCCTCTTCCTCCTGAGTGGTAGGATTAAAGGTGTACACGACCATACCCAGCCACAGTTTAACCTTTTTTAAAAATTTAACGTGTCTGAGTGTTTTGTACATGTGTAGCACGTGCCTGTAAGTCCTACATGCATGCAGCGTCTGTGGAGGCTGGAAGATTGGATCTCTTGGAACTGGAGTAACGTGGTCGTGAACCACCACATGGCTTCTCAGAACTGAACCTGGTTCCTCTTTAAGAGCAGCAGGCATTCTTAACCACTGAGCCATCTCTCCAGATCTCATCATTCAATTTTAAAATTTTATTTTAGTTGATTTTTGTTGCAATAGGGGTAAAATCTCAGCATTTTACCTGTGCTTAGCCTGTACTTACCCACAGAGCAGTACACTGCATTTTTATTTATTTATTTACTTAGTGGCTCTGGGGATAGAATTCAGTCCTTGCACTAGGATAATTTTAGGCCTAGCACCTGAGCTTCATTCCCACCCTTTCATTTTTATTGAGACAAGGTGTGTGTGTATGTGTATACATATATGTATATAATATATGTATATAGTATATATACATGTATGTATATAGTTTTGTTTTGTTTTTTGAGACAGTTTTTCTGCATAGCTTTGGCTTTCCTGGAACTCACTCTGTAGACCAGTCCGGCCTTGAACTCAGAGATCTTCCTGCCTCTGCCCCCTGAGGGTTGGGATTAAAGGTGTGAGCCACCACACTTGGCTTTATATTATATCATACACATATGATACCCACAAGCACATATATGCATGCATATATGTATATGCATGTATATATGTATATACATATATATATATATAAAACTCAGGTTAGCCTTGAAATCACCATCCTACCTCTGCCCTTCTATTATAGATGTGCATTCTGGTATCCCCATTGTACTTCATTAATAACTTTAGGCAGGAAGAAGTCCAGGTCATTTTGCTCTCCAAGGGTTATATGACAGTTTGGTAACATTTTGATTGTCTTGATGGAGGGTTACCATTTTTATTTAGTGTTAGAGACTAGGAGTGCTCCTAAGTGTCTCACCTTGAACCAAGAACTCGTTGACATAAAATGTTGCAGAGGCTGCGGTCTGTTATTGGGTGCTCTTTATGGAAACAGAGGCTTGTGAACAAAGGATGTGTGCATTCTGGAGATGGATGCGCAGAGCCTCCTAGAGCAGCACAGGTGAGAGAGATGTGTAAGGGATTTTTATAACTCCTGAGGGTCAGCAGCCCCTAAGTAGTCAGCTGACTGGAGGGATCGTCCATGTTTATGATTCTATAGCCCTGCGTGACCTCTTTAGTGATAGAACAGAAACCAGTACAGTCAGGGGTAGGGGCCTGTTATATGTTGCCCTCTTATCTAACTGTTTTGATATATTTTATTATTCATTTGTTTATTTATTCATTTATTTCTTATGGGTATGCTCTCTGCCATGGTGTGAATGTGGAGGTCGGAGACAAGTTCTTAGAGCTGGTTCTCTCTTTTTACCATGTGCTCTGGGGGACTGAATCTTGGGAGATAGGTTCCTTTAGCCACCAAGCCATCACCAGTCCTATCACCAGTCCTACCCCTCCAATAATAAATTTGGAAAGTGGTTCTTTGGTCTTACAAGAGTTGCTAGATAATTTTGACAGCTTGGCTTAGGGCTCTCCATTTGTGAGAATGGGGCCAGGCATCTTTGTGATGGAAAGCTGGAAATCTAAGAAAGAGCTACTGAATGGCTGTGCTGGGAGTGTCCAGTGGTTGCTGAAGACCCAGATGCTTTCCAGAACCAGCACCAGGCCTTAAGGTCGATGCAGCCAGTCACATCCAGTTCCAAGGTAAGTTATGCACAAACAATGGAATCATAAAGAGGACAACAGTGACACACACACACACACACACACGTTGGTTTTTCAAGAAAAGGTTTCTCTCTGTAGCCCTGGCCGTCCTGGAACTTACTATGTAGACCAGGCTGGCCTCAAACTCAGAGATCTGCCTGCTACTGCTTGCTCGGTGCTGTGATCAAAGGCATATATCGCCATCATCCAGCTAGCAGAGTCTGTGTTAACTGGTAGTTTTTACAAAGCAGCAAACAGTTTTCTTTTTTGTAAAGCTTCCAAACTCAAATAAAGCAAATGTGCATATGTCTGATTTTTGTTGAGTGCTGTTTTCTTTGCTTCTCATCAGTTGTGTTTTCTCTCTGTGTTTTGCAGTTATTCATTGCTCCATGCGTCAAGAAAAACCTTTAGCAATGTCAAAGTCAGCATTTCCAAACAGTGGACCCCAAATGCTTTCAATACGTCAGCCAACCTTCCTGAAGAGGTACGCAGAGTGTGGGCAAGAAGCTGAGAAGCGCTCTCCTGTCCACCTTTACACGTGCCTGCTAAACTCGTTTTTCCATCATCTGCTCAGTAGTTGGGAACAGCTCTCTGTGTCCTAGGCTTTGAGACCCAGACTGTTGTAATTCAGAGCCTTCAGTTTCGCCTTCGTACCTTGTTTCTCACTGTGTGAAATCACACAGGTCTGGCTTGCCTTCATCAAGTTTCACAAATGCTGTGCACATGTCTCCTGTGATTTTTTTAATGATTTATTTATTTTAATTTTATGTGCACTGGTGTTTTACATGCATGCATGTCTGTGTGAGGGCATCAGATCCCCTGGAACTGGAGGTATAGACAATTGTGAGCTGCCATGTGGGTGCTGGGAATTGAACTCAGGACTCTGGAAGAGCAGCCAGTGCTCTTAACCACAGAGCCATCTCTCCAGATCCTATGGTTTATTTTTTAGTTTTAGTTTTTATCTAGTCACACACCTTTCCTTTCTATCCCTCCTTCTTTCTTTCTTTCTTTCTTTCTTTTTTTTTAAGATTTATTTTTTATTTATACAACATTCTGCCTGCACACCAGATCTTACTATTGATGGTTGTGAGCCACCATGTGGTTGCTGGGAATCAAACTCAGGACCTTTGGAAGAACAGTGAGGGTTTTTAACCTCTGAGCCATCTCTCCAGCCCTCCCTCCCTCTTTCATTCTTTTTTTTAAAAATAGGGTCTTACTGTGAGGCCTTCGATGCTGGAGTAAAGGTGTGTGCTACCGAATCGAGCCTTTTTTTTTTGGAGACAGAATCTCTATGTAGCCCTGGCTGTCTTGGAACTTAACTCAGAGAGATCCACCTGCCTCTGTCTCCTGAGTTCTGGGAATAATGGCATGTGCTACCCGGCCTGGCTTCTTTTTCCTTCCTTCCATTTCTTTCTGTTTGGTTTTTTTTAAGACAGGGTTTCTTTGTATAACAGAGTCCTGGCTGTTTTGGACTCACTTTGTAGATCAGGCTAGTCTTGAACTCACAGAGATCTGTCTGTGCCTCCCAAGTACTTGAATTAAAGGTATGCATCGTGACACCAGTACCCACAGAGGCTGAAAAAGAACATTGGATTCTTTGGAGCTGGAGGGTAGGAGCTGCCCTGTGGGTGCTGGGAAGTGAACTCCAACAGGTGCTCTTAACTGAGGAGCCGTCTCTCCAACCCCTCTATAGCTGTTTTCTGTCTGAATTTTGCTTTTCCCTTTGGGATGAGATAAAATATCTCTTTGTTCTTTTTTGAAAAAAGAATTTTATTTATTTGTTTATGTGTTCTGAGTTTTGTTCTGGGGTATGTTCTTTTCTTCTACCTTGTAGTCCTAGAGACTGAAGCATTTTTTTATCAGCTCCTCAGTTCTCCTGTTGAGGCAAAACATCTTTGGCTCCTTCAGTTATAGTTTGGTGACACTTGAGCTCTCACTGTAGGATTCAGGAACAGTCTGCCTCCAGAAAACTAGGATTTGTTTTTTGGGATTCTGAATTGGCAGCCCCAAGACCACCCCAGGTTTGATAGGATGGGAGCACTCAGCATGTGTGATTTATTGCAGGAAAAGGGCATGAAGTGAAGTTACCAAAAGGAAACCAGCCATGCCTTTGCAGGTTCTCTCCCAGCAGGAGGCTGTGACAACATGTGTGAACTGCTGTCTACCTGGGAAGCCCATTGGAGTCTCATGCCCAGGGCTGGTTACATAGGCGCCCTCTGTGTGCCACATATTAAAATTCCAGGGTTCAGGATTGCTGGGTGCAGAAAGTGCTCTTACTGGGGAATAGTCTCTGTTAGGGAGGTCTGATGCTGAGGGGCCGGCCTTGTCAGCAGGCTTTGCTAAGGAGGGCCATCTTTGGCCTGTGGGTTGGCTCTTTCTGGAGTAATCATTACATTAGCTCTCCTGGAATAGCATTGGCTCTTTTGCTTGCTTGCTGGTTAATCAGTTCATCTTGATGCTGGGGATCGACCTCATCTGTACTAGGCAAGTGCTTCACTTCTGGGCTCTCCCCCCAGCTTTTTAGGTGCTGACTCTAGTTGATGTTACGGTAGGCATGAGTATCCCCTTTTTTCAGAGCTACCAATTTTGCAGTTTGGATTGATTGGCTCTACAGAAGTCAGGTTCCAGCCTGCCCTGGAGAGCTTTGTGCTCCTTTTTTGAGGCAAAGCTTCTCTATGTAACAGCCCTGGCTGGCTTGGAGCTTGCTCTGTAGACCAGGCGGGCCTGGAACTCACAGAGATCCCTCTGCATCTGCCTCCCGAGTGCTGGGATCAAGGGCGTGTGCCACCACTGCCTGGCCAAGTTTTGTGTTTCTTGACAGACCCATCCTCTGACCCAAGACAGAAATTCAGAATTACTTTAAATCCAGCATTTTTCCTTCTCTGACTTACACCACTAGCCTTTACTTTCTGTTAAAGTATTTGGGGGCTGGAAAGATGCTCAGGAGGTAAGAGCACTTGTCCTTGCAGAGGACCTGAGTTCAGGAGCTCAGTTTCAGTTCAGGGGATCCAGTGCCTCTGGCCTCCATGCACTTACAAGCACGCATGTGCACGCTTCTCTTCCTTCCCCCTACTGTGGGAGGTAGAAATAAAGATAAATCTTAAATGTTTTTTTAAATTGCATTTATTTATTTTGTGTGTATTAGCGAGGGTGTGTGCATGCCACAGCACATATGTAGAGACATCTGAGGACATCTTCTGGGTCCACTTTCTCCTTTCTCCACTGGCTGTTGCAGATTGAACTCAGGGAGTGTTTATTATACCTGCTGAGCTACCTTGCAGACCCTAGAAATAAATCTTAAAAAAGAATACCGCTGACTGTAAAATTTCTCTTAATATTCTTAAGTAAGCAGTCTAACCCCTGCATTACCCACAAGCAGATTTGTGTCCTGCCCACAGCTCTCCTGGGTTCATTTGTAGTCTCCCTGCAACTCCTGCTTCAGGCAACGTCTGATCTGGGAAGCTGGTTTTATTCAATTTTTAAAATTAATTTTAAAATTATGTATATAAGTGTTTTGCTTGTATATATGTGCACCATGTGTGTGCCTGGTTCCAGTGGAGGCCAGAAGAGGGCCTCAGACTCTCAGGAACTGGATCTGTGGATGGTTGTGAGTCACTCTGGATGCTAGGAAGTGAACGTGGATCCTCCGAAAGAGCAGCCAGTGCTTCTGTCACTGTGTCATCTCTCCAGCTCAGGAAGTTGTTTTTAAAGTATGTAAAATATGGCCTTCCTGGATGGAAGCACACAGTTTCTCCAACTGCTGCGTGTGTACACATTGCCTAGTCTTCTTACTGAAGATTAGGTCATCAGCTTCTCAGCATTTTGGCTTAAGAGAAAAGGTATGCTAAGGAGCATCCTGAATGCACTGGAAGCAGCAGCAGGGCCTTGTCAGAGCTTTTCATGCGGGAACTCTGGTCAGGGATGCCACCCTTTTCTTGTGTGCCTGTGTTGCCTTATCAGAGGTCACTGCCTCACTCTTCACCAGCAGGGTGGCGCAGGCACCAGCAGGATGGTGGGCAGGCACAGTGGTGGGCGCCGTCGGTTGAAAGGTGGGGTACTGATCTCAGCGGAGTGACTTGCCCTGTGTTTCTGCAGATCTGGAGCAGCAACCATTTGTTCCCCAGTGCAGAGGAAGCCACTCTTTTTCTAGGAACACTAGATACCATTTTTTTGTTCTCCTATGCTGTGGTAAGTCTTAAAATTATGTAGTTTTTTGTTCCTTTTTGTTTTTTAAATAGCTTAATTTTTTGTATATTAAAATTATATTATTATTTATAATTTTTATATAATTTGTACATGTGTTTATACATACAATTATTATTTTAATTTTTAAATAACTAATTTTTATTATAAAATTTTTTATTCTGAGACATGTAGTTTTCAAAGTTATTAGATACTTTATATAGTAAATATGCTTGTAACTCTTTTTGTTATATAAGAAAGACACTCTTATTCTAAATTAACTTATTTACTTATTTTTTTAATGTGTGAGTGTTTTTCCTGTGTGTATGTAAGTGCAGTAGATGCCTATCTGGCACTCTTGGATGTTAGAAGAGGAGGGCCTCAGAGCTGTAGAAACTGGAGTCAGATGGTTGTGAGCCACCATGTGAGTGCTGGGTACGGAACCTCAGACTTCCGAAGAGCAGCCAGGGCTCTCAATGGCGGAGACATCTCTTCAGCCCAAATTTAATTTTTTTAAATCTATTATATAAAATTTTAATATATAGTATTAAAATTGTATTGTTATATAATACATAATTATATTATTTTAATTTTTAAATAACTACTTTTTTTTTTTTAATTGTGGTGCTAGGAATCAAACCTAGCGCTTCTAAAATATTTTTTTTTGTTTGTTTTTGAGACAAGCTCTCTGTGTTGCTGTGGCTGTTCTAGAGCTCTATGTAGACCAGGCTGGCCTCAAACTCACAAGATCCTCCGGTCTCTGCCTCCCAAGTCCAGGGATTAAAGATGTACTACACCCTGCCTGGTGGATTTTCTGATTTTACATATGGGCATTTTGCCCGAATGTATGTCTGTACATCACTTGTGTGCCTGGTGTCTGAGAAACAGGGCATCAGGTGCTGAAAACTGACTTACAGACAGTTTTGAACCACCGTGTGAGTTCTGGGAGTCAGACCCTGGAAGAGCAGCCAGCGCTCCTAACCACTGAGCTATCTTTCTAGCCCCAAATTGGTTGTTTCTGTCTATCTCCCTTTCTTTCCATGGCTTCCAGGCATTCTGCTTTCTTACCCAAAAGAGAACCGAGAGCTTGTTCACAAATGGCACTGGGTCTGTGTATGCTGTGCTTCCAGTGTGGAGGGACAGACAGTTGTGACGTGTGTCACCAAAGGGTTTAGCACTATCAAGGCAGTCGGTTTGTTTAAATAGTTGGTTTGTGTCACTTTAGGTCTGAAGTCAAGGTAGTGACTCATTTTATACATTAGTGGCAGAAATGTACCGTGCTGCCCTTGTGTGCGCTGAGTTCTCAGGATTTAGTTGCTGCTGGGCCCTGGGGGAAGGTAGCCACTATGCCTCTCATTGGTTATTGTGATATCCTGAGAGCCAAGAGGCACAGGCAGCTACAGTACATAGTGAGACCCGTCCTGTGCCTTACAAGTCACCACTAGACTGTGCACGTGTGGCAACACTTTTTTTTTTTCTGAGACAGGGTTTCTCTGTGTAGCCTTGGCTCTCCTGGACTCACTTTGTAGTCCAGGCTGGGTTCAAACCCACCAAGAGATTCACCTGCCTCTTCATCCCAAGTGCTGTGATTAAAGGCGTGCGCCACCACATCCAGCTTGTGTCAACTCCTAACTCCAACTGCAGACGGTTCAGAGAGCCCTGCAGGAAGGCGAGGACTACTTCTTAATCCAACTCATCTGGAAAATGAAGTGTATTTGGGAGCTTGTGTATGGACATTTATTAGTGTAGACTGTGAATAAGGTTTGATTTTTTTTTTTTCTACTCCCCTCCTTTTTTAGTTTGCCTCATTTGTAATGTGTTCTCCCAGCTTACTGTTACTATTTAGAGCCATAAAATGAAATGCCTCATTTTTAGGGCCTTTTTATCAGTGGCATCGTTGGGGATCGGCTGAATTTGCGATGGGTTCTGTCTTTCGGCATGTGCTCTTCTGCATTTGTGGTAAGTTGGAAGATTTTATGATTATCATAGTTATTACTGGGCTAGCCAGGTGACTTAGTAGTTAAAAATGCAAATCTGATGACCTGAGTTCAGTCCTCATCCCATGTGGATGGAGAGACACTAGGCCTGAAAGTTGCCCTCTGACCTCCACCCTCTCATGTGGGTACCCCTACTCAGGCTTGCATATCATAAACATAAACACACTGATAATAAATGAAATTAAAAAATAAAGTTACTACTATTTTGATCAGATGTTCTAGAATTTTAGTTAACCCTTCTCCACCTCTGTCTAGAGTAGAGGAGTGAGACTGGTCTTCCTGTCGTCATCCCATGTGTCTTTGACAGGCAGATCTTTTTAAAGCAAGACTCTTGTTGTCCTTCCTTGATTCACATACTCTGAAAATAGCCTAGTGCTAGGGCTCTCTGGAGCCTGCCAGTCATGCTTGCTTGCCTATCTTTGCTCTTGACAAACTAACCACTTTCTGATTCCCTAACCTGGCCACTGTTTTCTACCTCAGATGGCCCTCGTGTCATAGCCTGGTGACACCCCCCCCAGCTCACCTCTTTCCAAGTCACTGGTCCTGACACTTCCTGCTGTGCTCAGGCCTCTTCTGAGTTCTTGCTGTCTTTCATCCCTGTCCCCCCAACCTGTGCATGTGCCTTAGTCTTACTTTCCAGAGTAAGACCACAGACCCTGCTGGGCAGCCTGTGCTGGCTCCTCTTCTTCTGGTTTTCTGACTCAGACTCTGCAGTGTTTCACCTTTCTTATTTGCAAAGAGGATGTTCAGATCCCATCCTCCGGACATTGCAGTGAGGATACTGTGTGTGTGTGTGTGTCTGTACGAGGGCTGTCAGGGGCTGTGCAAGACAGGATCCATATCAGAGTCACCATTACTGCTTACTGCCAGTTAGGAAGGAGTTTTTATTGATTAAGTCAGCTCCTAGACTTTAGTTAGGTTCTGACTTGTACTTTCGATGTCTGCCATTTACATACAGGAAAAAAACTTTAAAGTTTTAGAAATCAGAGCACTTTGTTCATAAACTGATGACCTGCACTTATTTATACATGCTTTTTTAATATTTGAAAACATTCAAGTGTATACGTAGACCCTTTTTGTAATCCTGTTTCCACAAAAAGCAAGGCTGAATAACTACCTCTCCCTCTTCCCAGCCACCGGCAACCACTGACCATTTTTCTGTCCTTGTAGTTTTGCTTATTCCAGAATTTTACAACTGAGATCTGACAGTAGTCTGCTTACATGCCAAGTCCCCTCAAAATAGACTCTGACTGTGAATAAAATGTTCCTTTGAGCAAAATGCCTGGGGGAAAAAATAGGCCCATGGTAGAAGCTGCTGAATAATTCAGCAGACAACAGACAGGATTCACTTATGAGTGAACTTAATAGTTGCCATAGCAACAGCTGGGCTTACCTTGATGCTCAGCCCCTGGTTCTGTCCAGACCAAACATGCACATGTGGGTTTGTGTGGTGCCTCAGCCCTCTGGATTGCCATTCCCAGAGAGCAGATGGAAGAAGATGGAGTTCTTCTAGAGTGGAAGGTGCAAGTTGAAGGGAGAGAGGGAGTGTGTGTGTGTGTGTGTGTGTGTGTGTAGGAGCGTACATACAGAAACCAGTAGAGGAGAGTGTGGGTTCTGTTTTATCATGTCCACCTTGCTCTCTTGAGGCAAGGCTGAACTTGGCGCTTGGCTGGCATCTCTCAAAGCTCCAGCAGTCTTGCTGTTTGCATCCCATATAGCGCTGAGGTTATAAGGGTACTCACTCAGGTTTTTACCTGGGTGCTAGGGATTTGAACTTGGGTCTTCATACTTTCATAGCAAGAATGCTTACCCTCTGAGCTATCTCCCCATCCCATGAATATATTTTTTGTGTATCCTGGAAAGCAGTTAGTTGGGTATATCAAAAGTGTCCATGTGAATGTCACATGTCCCTTTTTTTCCTTCTCTCGAAGGTGTTTGTCTTTGGTACTCTTACGGAATGGCTGCACTTCTACAACAAGTGGCTCTACTGTGGCCTGTGGATTGTGAACGGCCTGCTGCAGTCCACGGGCTGGCCCTGTGTGGTTGCTGTGATGGGCAACTGGTTTGGGAAAGCTGGGTATGCTGCTTCCTTCCTCTGACTTCATTGATGTTGGACCATTGAGTCTGTTGACTCAGTGCTTTAGAGCATGCCTCATCTTCTGTTTTAGACTGAGCAGTTCTGGGATAGAAAGTCCATGGCACAGTGTTGTGGACCTCAGTGGTGGTCTAAGACACCCAACGAGGCACATTCGCAAGGCTGTATGTCCCAGTTAATCCTTCTTAAGCTTTTCTCCTTTAGAAACTGTACTAGCCCCACCTTTGTGCCATCCAGTATATGTGTTCCTTTGAGTGTAGCCGCCTTTGCCATGTTTTGAGATTGTGTGGTTGTCTTATCATTACAGTAATAATAAGGAAACTTAGCCCAAAAGGTATCCATGAAAGTTGGGACACTGCTCAGTGATAGAGCAATTGTGTGTAACATGTAAAGGATACTGCCAGTAGAGAGAAAAAAGTTACCCGTGTGACATGCCTAAGGTCACAAGCATGGGCTCTAGTTCAGATGTTGCTACGTTTTGGGGCTTAGATTGAGCACTGCCCTGCCCCTCAGCCTTTGTGTTAGAGCGTGTTGGACTTGGCATGTATGGTGTGGGCTGCAGAGTGAAGGAAGATCCCTGTTGAGGGATCGTCCAGCCTGTCCCGGAAGAAGCCATGCCGAGTTCATAGGATGGAAAATAAGCCGAGTGAACTAGACTTGCTTTGTGGTTTGTCATTGTTGGTGAAGCTCCTGTTGTAGAAACAGTGTTGACTTGGAGTTTGGTTAGTTTTGCTGCATCAGTGTGTATATGTTGTCAGGGACATGCTCATCTCCTGTCTGGTTTCTCCGCGTGTTTGCTCTTACACATGGGAAACGGGCGCGGCAGGCCTTCCCTTCCACTGTGCTGTTCAGCATACGCTCTGGCAGGTGCTTCGCAGCCTCCATCTTCCCCAGTTTCATATCTCGGAGCTCCCTTGGTCATAAAAAATCTGTAATGCTGGGAAAGTTCACCTATAAACTGTCTTGTGGAATGATAAGTACCATTCAAGAGTTCTCTGATTATATTTCAGTGTGCTATCGCCATCTGCTTAATTCTGACCATAGGTTAGCATGATTACGTTGTAAACACATTTTCTTTTTGTTTCGTTTAAAAAAAAAAAAACAACAAAAAACAGTGGTGAAACTGGAGATGCACAGGGATTCATGCATTGCATACCAGGCAAGTGTTCTACCACAGAATTTTATCCTCCAGCCATTTAAATTTTTTTTTCTTTTTCCTTTTTCTTTTGAGACAGAGTCTCACCATGTTACCCTGACTAGCGTAGACCAGGCTGGCTTCAAACTCAAAGATCCATCTGTTCTGCCTCCCAGGTGTGTGCTCCCTACCCAGCCTAAAATTTCTGGTCTCTTTATGTAGCCCTGGCTGTCCTAGAATTCACCATGTAGACCAGCCCGGCCACAGACTCAGAGGTCCACCTGCCTCAGCCTCCTGAGCGCTAAGATTACAGTCATGCGGCACATGCCTGGCAGGAAGGCTTTGTGCTTTCAGGGCGGCAGTGTGTGGCGATGCTGATAGAAGGAGGCTAACCTGGTTTGCAGGGCCTTGGCCTGTGTATGAACACTCAGGCTCAAGGCGTAGCCCAGCTGGGAAGTCTTTCAAGAATGCCATGCTGGCAGGGAAAAGATGATGAAACTGTGAGTACTGACTGAGAGTGGCGGCTCTGTGCCTTGGCAGCCAGCTGCCAGGGGTCCATTGTGGGTGTGGAAGGGCATCTGAAGGGACCTTCCATCTCCAGGGTTGCTGCCAACTAAGGCTTGGTTCATGCCGGTGGGAGAAAGCCTTTGAGGTAGCGTCTTACTGTAGAGACCAGACTGGTCTTGAACTTGTGATCCCCTGTCCTGGCCTCTGAAGTGCCAGGAGACTGATGAAAAAAAAGCAACTGTAGTGAGAGAAGTCAGGTGAGTATTGCTTTAGACTGACTTCTTGGGAACCTTAACAGTAATTCACAAAGTCCATTGAGACTGTGTGCCAGAAGTCACAGTTTTCACAGGTCAGATTCTTGTCAGCTGGCACCTTGGTCCTGGTATGCTGACCTGCTCCCCCTAGGACCTCCTCCATGGGTTTTACTATTTTTACAGTATTGGAGCTTTTCATCTTTTGTTTTTTTTTTTTTTTTTTTTTTTTTTTGTTTTGTTTTTGTTTTGAGACAGGGTCTTGCCATGTAACATAGATGCCTTGAACTTGCTACAGTTCTGCTCTAGCTTTGAAGTGTGTGGATTAAAGGCATAAGTCACCATACTTGGCTTCTTTTCTTCAACTCTTTTTCTTTAACCCGCCCTATAAGGAACTGAGGACTTTACTGTTGCTATACAAGTGCTCTGCCTCTGAACTCAGTGTCCAACCTATAAGTGAAAATTTAATATCATTGAACCTTAGAGGAATCTGGTTTTATCATTCTGGTGTAGTTTTCAAATGTTAAATAGAATATTAATTTTTTTTTTTTTTTTTTTGGTAATGCACATCTTTACTGTTTCAGCCATTTTTCATTTTGACCTGCGCATAGAATCCTCTGATATACTGCTTTTGGTTTTCTATTATTCCTTAGCCGAGGAGTTGTCTTTGGTCTCTGGAGTGCCTGCGCTTCGGTGGGCAATATTTTGGGAGCATGCTTGGCCTCATCTGTTCTGCAGTATGGTTATGAGGTGGGTATTTCTTTCTCATTTTGTATGTGTGCATTTTCTCTTACTGTCTAACCAAAGGTGACCTTGAACTCCTCATCCTCTTCTCTTTCCAAGTGCTATGATTACAGGCACGCACCATCATGCCTGGCAAGAAGGCTTTGTGCTTTTGGAGCCACAGCTTGTGATGTTATTGATAGAAGGAAGCTAGTTTGTTTTGCAGGGGCCTGGGTCTGTGTAATGAACACCAATACTCCAGTTGTAGCCCAGAATGCAAGAAGGGAAAAGATGATTTAAGAACCTGAGGGTACTGAGCAAGAGTGGGTGTGCGGGCAGCCAGCCGCCAGTGGTCCATTGTGGGTGTGAAGAGCCTCTGAAGGGACCTTCTATCTCCAGGGTATGCTGCCAGCTAAGGGTTAGTTCAAGCCAGTGGGAGGAAGCCTTTGGGGTAGGGCATATTCAATCTGCTGAGCATTTAGGGTGTCTGAATGAGGTGGGGTGGTAGATTTGCAGCTGGCACAAGTTTAAGCCTGTGCATGTAGAAAGAGGGATAAAGACAGATCACTTTCTTTCTGACCTCTGAGCCTTCTGGGAATATCATCATGCGATGTTGCCAATTGTTTGGATTGTTGTAACTGCTTTGAATTCCTGAGGCATCAAATGATCAAGAAAGCCCTAGGCATCCATCCCAAATATCCCTAGGAGTTGGAGTGATGCTAGAAGTGAAACTCCCCTAGAAAATAGTCCCTAGGGCCAACAGAACAAGAAGCTGGGTGTAAGCGACTGTATCACAGTGCTGAGTGTGTGGAGAATAGTCTTTGTTCTGCCTTCTAATGCGTCTGTGTGAGTGAAGAAAAAGAAGTATGCAAATTATCTGTAAGTCCTGGAAGGTACATTTTGAATATAGTTCTTGGATTTTTATTTTGAACCAGTAAGTTACTTTTTATAGAAAAGTAATTAAGTAGATAAGAGAACGACAGAAATACTATACTGTGTATTTACTGGCTTGGTAAAATCCAGGTTGGTAAGCTGTTGTGGTCTTGAGGTTGTTGGCAATGTCTGTCAAGTTACTCTGGCCGAGCTGCTCCATCTCCAGGAAGTAGTGGTGTGTGTGAATGTCCCTACACATGCACAAACAAACGTTAGCTGCAGTTATCGCAACATCGTTGTAACAGGCAAAGATTGATGTTACAGGTCAGCTGACAGGGAAGTGTTAAACTCTGATGCACCTGTTGGAAGACTCGGAGTAGCTGGGAAGTAGAATCAGAAGCTCAGAACTGAAAGAGGTCAAAACACTGGGAAGATCTCACAGGCCACAAGCAGGCCAAGCAGTGTGGCTTCAGATGCCATCTGTGTGTTTATTAGCTTGTATGAAGGTGGGATTAGCTTGCCTGTTTCCTAGTGGTCCGGGGAGAACTGCAGCCATACAGCAGCGGTTTTATATTTGGACAGTTGAGAATTGATTGGAAGGGTGGGGAAGGGTGGGAGGAATAGGATTTACTCCACATCTTAATGCTTGTTTTCTTGAATAGAATGCCTGGCCAGAAACTAGGATAATTAAACATAAGTTGCTCTTTCAGAGAATAGATGTTTTGCCCAGGTAGAAGCAGCCTGTCATCCTTCACAATCAGCTTTTCTTTTTTCTAGGCTGTTTTTATACCTGTCACACCTGGATTGTACTAATTGGTGCAAATGTGAATTCACTCACACCTGTGCTGCTGCAGGATCTGGATTCTAGAATACTGCTTTAATTTTGTCATTCACTTGCTCAAAAACTATGACTCATTTCAATAAGTCAGCTGGACAGCTTGGCTCTTGAGTCTTTTCCTCCTGACGTCCACTCCCAGGGGACAGAACCTTCTGGGAGCATGCAGGGAACACCCCCTCTCAGCCCCAGCCTGGGAGCACTGCTGCCCTTAAACGTCATCTAGCTGTGTCATCTAGCCCTTCCCGGCTGCTGCGTCCTCTGACGCCTGTGTTTCTTCTCACTAGGCCTGCTCTTTTTGTTCTTTCAGCTCTGTGCTGCCTTGCCTTTTCACATTGTTTTGGGTATTGTTTACTCCCTTCAACTGGATTAAATGTCTTCAAGGGCAGATACTCTGTAAAAGTTTGGATAATGAAAAAAATGAGATGGGGGGCAGGCTAATCTTGATTGTCCAAGCCTAATAGTTCACTTATCCAGGTGAGCCTTAGGAAGATGCGGTGGGGAATCACCGTAGGGTGCTTGCTACAGTGTGGCCGGGAAGTGTGGGGTACTGAAGTCCCTGTCCCCGTCCTTCCTGTCCCGCCCCTGCCCTCACGGACCGTCCTGAACGACCACCCTGTGTAAGAGCGCTCTCTCTCTCCTCTCTCCAGTATGCCTTTCTGGTGACTGCGTCCGTGCAGTTTGCTGGCGGGATCATCATCTTCTTTGGACTTCTAGTGTCGCCAGAAGAAATTGGTGAGGATACCCCGCTTCTTCCATTCAAATTATCTTACCGTTAGGGGCCTAGGCAAGTCCAGGGACAGGAAATAAAATTTTTCCGAAGAAAGCTTTAAAGCGGCAGTTTTGCCCTGTCCGTCCTGTTCATTACAGCCACACTTAATACAGTGCAGGTGTTTGAGGGGTGTGCAGCTTCTGTGTGCAGGAAGAACCGAACATTTGTAGATGGTCTGTGTAATCGTACTGGCTAAGAGTGTAACGCCTTGAAGCTGGATTCTTTACCTTTATAAAAAAGATCTGGTTTGCTACTTCCGTCTGGTTAAATATAGAGTGTACGAGTGAAGCCGCAGAGGCAGAGAGGTGTGCCACTCTTCCCTGAGTGAGCAGGCTCCGTGACCTCACTTGGTTTAGTTGTCCTTGGTCTCTGAACCTTAGTTGGGTCTTCTACAAATTGAAAATAAAAACAGTATCAACCCTGTAAGTGGTGGTGTATGCAAATTCTAGATTAGGGCCAGGCCTTCGGGCCGGAGCTCTGTAAACGGCTTCTCTTATTGTTATCCTAGGTCTCCCAAGTATTGGGGCAGAAGAAGGCCCCAAAGAAGATTCACACAGGCCACTCATTAATGGTGCTGAAAATGAAGATGACTATGAGCCTAATTATTCAATCCAGGAGGACAGGGCTGTCAGCCCAGTGAAGGCTATAAGCTTTCATCAGGCTTGCTGCCTTCCTGGAGTCATACCGGTAAGGACTCGCTTGTCTCCTCCCACAGTTGGCCAGGTAGCATGCCCTCAGTAGCCCTCTGCTGGGGCTGCTGCTTTCATTTTACTAGTACTTTTTGAGATGCTGTGTAGCAGCCCTCAGCTTTCCTGGTAGCTGTGAAAAGCTTTGGGGGAACTGAAACACCTCATCCTTAATCACTTCATCCTGTCGCACAGAAGCTGCTGACCCCATGGGTCAGATGGGCATGGCCAGACATAGCCCATGAACATGCTGACCCTGATCCAGCATGCAGCCATGAAGGCAGAAATAACACGTTTTTAATTATGCATTTTGAGTCTGTCAGATTTATGTGGAACAAGGGCGGTTTTGAATGCTTCATTACCTGCCTTATTTGGAAATTCTGATCATTCCAAGTGTTTCTTGATAATGTGTCGCAGTGTTTCCACAACTTTGCAGTCAGGAACCTCTATGTGAACCAAATCCCTCCTGTGCAGTTTGTCTGTCTTGCTGTGTTGGGTGCCCAAGCACTGGAGTGGAGTTAAGAGCGCTAGGCTGTGTTTGCAGCTTGCCTACTAACTTTCTGTGAAACCCGAATAAGTCACCCAACCCATCACAGTGTCTCAGTTCCCTTCCTGTGGGATGGAGATGACATACACCTCGCCTGGGTCTAAACCCTGGCTCATTGCGTAGTTTTGACAAAGCATCTGGTTTTGTCACCTTGTTTTCATGATGCAAGTCTGTAGGCCTTCCTGTTCTGCCCCTTGCAGCTCTTTTCTGCCCTGTGCCTCTGCTAAAAAACTAACCCTTCCAGCAGACAGTCAGGTGTCGGTCAGATGTAAGTGTGACACACTGTAGTTGTTGAGGGCAAAGGTAGTGGCTAGAGTTTGGGAAGCTCTGGCCCCTTTAGGCCTGCTCTTAGGAAGATAATGTCCTTCAGTTAGTAAAATACTTTCCTGGCAGTTGTTTAGGTTGAGACAGAATTTCCGTTTGTTGTGGCTAAACAAGAGACTCATTTTCTGGTTCCTTTGTACTTTCCAAGCTATTGTTCTCTGGCGCAGGCAGGGTGGAAGGGCAGTCTAGTTAACCCCATGCCTTTGTCTTTGCAGCAGGCTGTCTGGGCAGACAGCTCTGGAGATTGGGATTCAGCTCTCTGCAGGGCGACTGCTGCCCTGCCTGCCAGGGAAGCTCTTTAAAACAAGTGGCACCTGGGGGATAACTGGCACTTGGGGGCAGGAATACTAGCCAGATGCCCTTTGAAGTCAGCCCTCTGCCTCTGCCTTCCTTTGATGCTAATAGTCAGGGTTTCCTGGTAATGATGTGTTGACTGGAGGAGTCTCAGCCATCACCACCACACAGAAGAGAGCCAGGAGACCAGTGATGACCATAGCTCTTCCTTTCCGGCCCACCAGAGAAGCTCTTCTTTGTGGGATGTGGGGCTTTTAGAAGCTCTAGTATGAAAGTGGTCCTTTCTGTCTGTGACTGAGTCACATTAACTTGTAGGAAGAGAACCAAAAAAGCCTGGCTGCTTGCAGTACGAGTTGATGTCTGCTAGGCCAGTTTTCCTGTCTCTGATGCTGGTTGGTAGGTAGCATGGATACCATGGATCTTTTGTCTGAATAAAGAAGTGTTGGTACAGCGTGCATTGCTTTCTGGGTTTCAAACACTGGCTTGCTTTTACCAGAGAAATGGCAGGAGAAGGAGCAGGAGATGCTTAAGAAAAAGCTGTGTGTGTGTGTGTGTGTGTGTGTGTGTGTGTGTGTGTGTGTGTGTGTGTGTAATTATTTTTAAGAAACTAATGGCAGTAAAGAACAGGGCTCCTGGGTAAACTCAGGGAAGACGTCATGCTGTGCCGTTTGCTGCTTGTTGATAGTTGTGTTTTTCTTGCAGTATTCACTGGCCTATGCCTGCCTGAAGCTAGTGAATTACTCCTTCTTCTTCTGGTTGCCCTTTTATCTGAGTAACAACTTCGGGTGGAAGGAGGCCGAAGCTGACAAGCTGTCCATTTGGTACGATGTTGGAGGCATCATAGGTATGCACGCGTTCATCTCCTTCTGCACGGTCGGTCGCCTGTCGTCTTTCACAGTTAGGAGATGCCACTTCATTTGAAGTTTTATTGCTTGCTCCACAGCCGTCTCTCCCAACCTGTCCTACTAGTAAGCACACAAACTTCTTTGAGAACAAAAAGTCCATAGAAGAAGACCAGCCTGGGACAGGGCTGTGATTTATAGGGCTGTCTTTTCTTAGTCTTTGGTTGATGGATCAGTTCTTTTGTCCTGGGAACACTTGGGAATCTCTGTAAATGCAGCCCCTTTGTATGCTTTCATGGCTGGCTTGGCTTTGAAGCTGATTTTGTGAGAGATTCAAGATGGGGTGGGAATGCGTTCATTTTGGCTTCCTCCCACTGTCCCACTATCTCCAGCCAAGGAAGCAAACATAGCACCTTAATAAACAGATTGTCAGATACCAGAAGAAGGAAAAACAGCAAGAATCTTTCTTTCTTTCTTTCTTTCTTTCTTTCTTTCTTTCTTTCTTTCTTTCTTTCTTTCTTTCTTTCTTTCTCTTTTTTGTGTGTGTATGTGTGTTTATTTGCAATTGCCTTGCTGTATACAATGGGTTTTATTTTATTTTCCAGGCTGGGGATTGAACCCTGGCCTAGCAATTGTACTATAACCCTAGTTCTCTAACAGGTTGTAACAGTGGCTTGTGTCATAATCAGAAATACAAACAAGGAAATAATAAACTTTTAAATGAGACCAACAGATCACACACTGTGGCCTCACCTTAGCACCTCTGTCTGTGCCACGTTCACACGCAGAGCCACAGTAAGACCAAGCTACCCTGAACACAGGAAGTGCACAGGAGGTCTTTAGGTGGCACACTGCTGTTACATTTGAACTTGGCTATCAGTAGTCTTAGGTCCAGAGCCAAAGGTAATATAGAGACCCTGAGACCTGCCCGACTTCCACAATGAAAGGCACCCACTCTAGCCTCCAGGGTGCTGGAGGGCAGGTTCACTTGGTTCAGTTCATCATGCTTTAAATTCAAATGAAGGAAATCCAGGGGAATTAGTTCCCTCGTAACTTGGTAGGGAAAACAGTAAGTACAAATATTATTAATTAATGCTTGATTTGTAGTGTCCTGTCCATGGGCCATCACTTCGTGGAGAGACTTAGGAGAGCCAGCTGTGTCTAACCCCTGAGGAACCTGCCTCGGATGGCTGAGCTCAGCCACAGCTGCTTTCCACTGATATGTTCTTTGTGCTTAAAGGTGGAACTCTGCAAGGCTTCATCTCCGATGTACTGCAGAGGAGAGCCCCTGTGCTGGCCCTTAGCCTGTTCCTGGCGGTTGGCTCCCTTGTTGGGTATAGTCGTGAGTATTCCCTTGCACTTGCTTGGAGTCAGTGGTCAGCCGTGGAGAGATCTGTGATCAGCTCCAAGTGCCTGGGAACTGTCGATCATCACATGGTTTTATTTGTGTGGGGAGGAAGCTGACGTCTCTTCTCCTTTGTGGGTCTGTTTAAAAGCTTGCTTGGGAATGTATTGCTTTGTTTGAGGGGCGGCTCCAGAGGGACAGCATTAGCGCCAATAAAACCATAAAAGGGACAAGGTTTAAAAAGCGGTAAGATGGTAATTAGTAGGCCTTGGTGTGTGTGTTCTAAAGATGGTAAAGTCTTTCTCCGGCTTTTAGACATCTCATTAGCTTGAGCGGCAGCCAGAGGCAGACAAGACAAAAGCTGGAAGGGGTGGTGAGAGTCGTCCATCTTTGTCTCTGGAGGGATTGTGAGGTGTAGGGGCTGCAGCCGCTGAGCACTGCTGATGGAGGCACATGCAGCTCCTTTGCCAGTCACTGTGGTGTGTCTTCTCTCACAGGCTCTCCAAACAATAAGTCCATCAATGCGCTCCTGATGACCATTACAGGTATGGCAGACCGCTCTGTCCTCTGTGCCGTTCCTCTGGGAGTTCAGAGAAGCCGTCTTTCACAGAGGGACTGACACTAAACCTTCGATAGCTAGGGCTCAAGTGATAGATGCCTCCTTAGTCAGCTTCTCCCTCTGCTTGAGGGTCACTCCTCAACCCTCTTTGGGAGAAGCTGTGCCTGTGGAGAGGTAACCTAAACATTTGGATTGTAGCCCCAGGTCTGGATTTGACTTCAGAAAGTGACTTAGGAAGGTGTCATGTCGGAATCCCGTCCACCAGCTTACAGAAGTGCAGAGCAGCTAGCTTTTTCTGTTATACCAAATTGGGTTTGTATTTTCCTGAGCACTAGATAAAATGGTTGGGTACAATTAAGGAGCATGTTATAAGAAAAAATAAAATTTTTGTTTTGGTTTGGTTTTGGTAGTTTGTTTTTGTTTTTTCGAGACAGGGTTTCTCTGTATAGCCTTGGCTGTCCTGGACATGCTTTGTAAACCAGGCTGGCCTCGAACACACAGACATTGCCTGCCTCTGCCTCCCCAAGTGCTGGCATTACTGGGGTACTCAACTGTGCCTGGCTATAAAATTATTTTTTAATCCAACAAGATGTGAGACTCTGATTCGACTACCATAACTCAGTTCACCAAAGCTGAGCCACACCCACCTGAGAGGTGGCCTTCTGAGAGCTGGGGCAGATAGAATCCTGTCTCTTTGAAACAGCACTTGTCTCATCCCTGTCTTTCCAATGTGTTGGTTGACTTGTGTGGATTGATCTTGGGGGATGGAGTTTTGCTCTGCTAGAACCTGACAAGCTGCTGCCATTTGCTGTTAAGGAGAGCATACCTGCACCATGAGGAAGGCCGTCCATTCAGCAGTCATTCTTACCCTCAGGTGCTGTAAAATAGAGTGTCCCATCACTCAAGAAGGCACAGTGGCGCACACTTGTGATCCCAGTGCTCAGGGAGGCAGACATAGGCAGATCTCTCTGAGTTTGAGGCCACTTAGTCTACAAATCGAGTCCAGGACAGCCAAGGCTACACAGAGAAACCCTGTCTTGAAAACCACAAAGAAGGGGGGGTGGGCTTTAGAAAAGTGGATACCAGTTAGTTTGAACATACTATGTAGAAGAATGTCCTTTATTTTCTATTTATCCACATACGCTGATTAAGACATTAGGATGAAGCTGGGCTCGGTGGCACATGCCTGTAATCCCAGCTTTGGTGAGCACAGCCAGGAGATTCCTGTGAGTTCAGGGCCAGCCTGGTCTACAAAGTGAGTCCAGGACAGCCAAGGCTACACAGAGAAACCCTGTCTTGGGGAAAAAAACAAAACAAAACCCAAGACATTGGGATGATATGATGATAATTATTCTTATTTGGCCAGTGGTTGGAGAAGTGGATCATATTCTAACAGGAACTTATTCTTTTTATGGCTCCAGGGTTTTTTATTGGCGGACCATCCAATATGATTAGCTCAGCCATTTCTGCAGACTTGGGTCGCCAAGAGCTGATCCAAGGGAGCAGCGAGGCCCTGGCGACTGTCACAGGAATTGTTGATGGGACCGGGAGTATTGGCGCTGCCGTAGGCCAGGTGAGACTGCATGTACTTGCTGGCTCCGGCGGTAGGTGGCGCTCTTACGCTGTGGCCCACTGTAAGGAAAGCCCTAGGTTTTCAGCCTCTGAGAGGTGGGACCTAATATGGAGGGCATCTCACATGGCCGTAGATAGTGTAGCTGACTGAGAGCAGTCTTTTCTCCATGTCTCTGCACCTGGGACTGATCCCAGAGGGTGGCTGTGGGTGTCCTGTAGCAAAATCATCTAGGATGCAGAACTGTGGAGGCCTACAGACATGCAGAGGTGAACCTGTTGACCCGTATTTCCTGTGTGGATGTTGGGGAGCCTCTAGGCTAAGATTGCCCTGCCATAGCAGTCAGAATGACTTAAGTTTGCTGGTTTGCTTGATTAGTGGGGTGAATCAGTGGCAGCTAATGCGTGGTCAGTGAGGGAGCAAGCAGCGAGGGACAGTAGCCCATCCCGATGGTATCCAGCCATGCAGTAGATGCTTATCAGTGCCTGTTCACTGCAGACATGGAGTCTGTGAGGGCAGACTGGGGCTCAGTTCTCCCTGTAGCCTCACCTGGCATTGCTTCCGGCACATGGAGACATCCTGGTTTCCAAAGCTCCCTACAGTAAATGGTTGACACACTTAGGATATTTGATTGTATCATTAAAGTATAAAAACAAAAATAAAATATTTAAGAAGGGTAGGAGAATTGCTTCTTCATGCTCTGGAGTAGAAATCAAGCAGGGCTACTGTCACCCCTCAGAAGGCTTTCTGCCTGAGGGGAGAGTGGATAATCATTATTTTATGCATTTATCTGTTTGTATATGTGTACATGCCCTGTTGTACCTGTGTGGGAGTCAGGACAACCTGCCAGAATCTTCTCTCTTTATACTGTGTGGGTCCTGGAGCTTGAACTCAGGACCTCAGGCTTGGTGACAAGGGTCTTTACCCTCTGAGCCATCTTTCCAGCCCCATCACATTGAATAGTATAAATTGTTTCTCCCTAATGGGCTTTCTCAGCCCATTAGGTGCATAGATTATAATTGATATTTCAGACATTTTACTTTGATTTTTGTTTCTTTATAAAGACAGTTTCTTACATAGCCCAGGGTGACCTTGAGTTTACTCTGTAGAATATGACCTTGAGTTCCTGATTCACCTATCAAGGGCTGGGATTCTGAGCTGTGTTACCTGCCTGGCCACTTGGACTTTATTTCTATGTGTCTCACATGTCAGTGTTTAGATCCCTGTGGTAACCGTGGGTTGCCACGCGTCTGACTTCCACCATCAGGCAGGTGGGTCAGGGGTAAATCATTCTTAGTCTGTTCATTCCTTCTCTTAGGGATGTTTGTTTGTTTGTTTGTTTGTTTTGTTTTGTTTCCCAGATGGTTCTGGCTGTCCTGGAACTCACAGATTTGTAGAAGAGGCTGGCCTTGAACTCAGGATAGGGTTAGGGTTGAGATCTGCCTTTCTCTGCCTCCTGAGTACTGGGTTTAAAGGTATGTGCCACCATGCCCAGCCTCTTGGGGATTTTTGAATGATTTGCCCAAAGAGTCACCTCACAGGCTCTGACTGAAGGTTAAAGCTCCATCAGCCATTTCCTGGACTCCTGCAAGTGACTGTTGCCTCTACTTTCCCAGACTTTTTGAGAACTTGCGGTTTTTCCTCTCCTGGTTCCTCGAAGCTGGTACATGCCTCCGGGAGAATACCCATCACATGTACTGGTCAACTTGCCAGTCTGGATCTCTGTCCTCCAGGCCAGATTCTGCACTCTTTGAAAACAAAACTGTTTTAAACTGAGCATTGCCAGGTGGTGGCGACATTCTCCTTTAGTCCTACCACTCAGGAGGCAGAGGCAGGAAGATCTCTGAGTCTGAGTCTTGAGAGCGAGTTCCAGCACAGCCAGGGCTATAGAGAGAAACCTTGTCTCGAAAAAACAAACCAAAACAAACTAAGCGTGGTGTGCACACCTGTAATCTCGGCTCTCAGGAAGCGGCAGACTTGCTCTGAGGTTCGGGTCAGCCTGGGCTGTGTGGTGACAGGCCATCCAGAGCATAGCCGGATCCTGTCTCCAAAATCCTAAAGTAAAAAGTGAACTGTTTGATCCACCGTTGTTGTCGATTTTGTGTGTCTGTGTGTGGGGCATACCTATGCTCTGTCACACATGCGGAGGCAATCTGTTTTTAGTGTGCGGGTTTTGGAGAGCAAGCTCAGGTTGTCAAACTTGGTGCCAAGTTGTCCTTACCTGCTGGGTCATCTAGCCAGAACCCCTTAGTTCATTTTGGACACACGTTTGGGGTTAGATCAAACTGCATTGTCTACTAGAGAAATGAGAACAAATGTCTAACATCTACATTGAAACTTAAACATGTTAGCTGTGGAATGTGGAAACCACACACATGTCCAGTGGCTGACTGATGGGAGCACACACAAGGAAGAGCTGTGTAACGACAAGGTGTTACTCAGACCTCAGCTCCGGACTCTCCTGAGTAGTCCCATCTTATCCGCTGCTTTATCTGGTCTCTTTATGTCTGATGTGCGTGAGTGCTTCGCCGTCAGGGATGTGTGTGCCTTGTGTGATGCCTGTTCCCTCCAGAAGAGGGCGTGGCTTCCCGTGAGTTTGACTGGTGGCTATGAGTAAGAGCGGCTAGGGCGTTCAGCACTAGCTCTCTGCAAGCCTCTTGGGTTCTGTCCGTTTGTTCGTTTTGAGGCAAAGTCTCTTGCAGCCCAGGCTGGCCTCAGAGTGGCTGTGTAGTAGAGGGTGACCTTGTTATCCACTTCCAAGTGCTGGACCACAGGCATGCAGCACCACCATGATCAGCCGACGTGGTGCTGGGATCCAACCCGGGCCTTCGTGAGTGTAAACGAAATACGCTGGCAACAGCCATGTCCCCAGCCCTCACTTTGTTAACTTATAAAAATTATATCATAATTTCCTTTCTCTTCTTTAGTATCTGGTATCCTTGATCCAGGACAACCTGGGATGGATGTGGGTTTTCTACTTCTTCATTCTCATGGTAAGTGTGTGTGCTTTTTTTCTTTAACCACTTTTCTTATTTAATTTAGAACATTTGATTTCATCACTACTTGAAACCAACAAAATCGCTGATTGCTTCTAAAGACTTTAGTGTGAAAAGTAACATTTGATTAGGCTGAAAAGACATTTCTTTCCCCAAGGAGCCAAAGAGCCCTGAGCTTGCCCGTCCCGGCCAGAGACTAATAAGTGTTGCCATTTACAGTTCCAGAGAAGCAAGAGGCTTACTCACACATCACTAACTAGTAATCAGTGTGCTCCTCTGGGCTGCTGACTGGCTGCTAAACAGGACTTGGGAATTCTGAAGCAAAGCAACAGTGTTTCAGAGAAGTGAGGCTCTAATTAACACTGTCCTGTGCACGCCCAAAAGTGATGCCACTCTGCGGGGACAGTCATTCAGCTAGAGGTTCTTGGCTGAGATTTCGTGCTTTATGAGAAATAGTCAATAGGCTCTGGTCTTTTGAAAAGATATGTGACATATTCTGTTGTATTGTTGGTGGGACAGTACTCATGACTGAGCTCATCTGCAGATTTCCTTGCCCTTGAAACTAGACATCCTAATTGTCCACTGTCACCTACATCTGGGCAGCTGTCCTCTAACCATTCAAAGGAGGCCCCAGCAGAGGTCAACATGAGTAAGTCCCCAGCGCTCTCTCCTCCAGCTTCTAATAACTCAGATTTGGTGACACACACCTGTAATGCCAGCACTTGGGAGACAGAAGCAGGCAGAGGGATTGTGAGTTCAGAGCCAACCTGAAAGACCTTGTCTTTAAAAGTCTAGTTGCTTTTAGGATCCATTTGTGGGCTAGGGATACAGCATGTTTGAGGCCCAGAGTACCGACCCCAGCTCCGAAAGACAAACAAAAGGAGATGGCTCAGTAAAAGCCCCAGCTGCACAAGCCTGGTGACCCAAGCTTGATAGCCAGAACCTCCTAAAAGCAAGATGTGGTGGCACACATCTGTGATCCCAGAACCCTACTGCAAGAAGGCAGAAAGAGGAAAATCACCCAGAAGCCTGTGGTGACGGCACAGCAGCAGAAATGAGAGACCCCGCCTCAACATGGTGGAAGCCAGAGACAACACCCCCATGTTGTCCTCTGACCTCCATATATGCTGTGGCAGCTGCACACTGTCTGTGCATGTGTACCTTCACATGTATGTACACTCATGCTTGACACACACACACACACACACACACACACCCCGGCAGACACAGTAAATACATTAAGTAAGTCTAAAGGCGGGCAAAGACCTGCTAAGTAGGAAGAATCACTGCTGGTGTGAGGCACCAGGATGTTGCAGTGAAAACCAGGTGTGCAAGAAGCCCGGCTTCCGTCTGCGCTCTAGTAACTGGCTCTGCTCGTGGCGGTGATGTACTTCAGTTATATTTCCACAGCAAGTGTGACATGACATGTTTGTGGCTCGAGCCATAATTTTCAAAAGTCGTTTTCTAATCCACTAAAGGCAAAGTTTTCTCTCTGTGAAGTCAAATTGAATGTTTGCTCAGATCCATTGCTAATGCTCAAATCACAATGCTGGAACAGAAGTAGTTTGTTGCTTCATTTTAAAAACTTTTTTCTCTTCACAGACAAGTTGTACGATTCTGTTTATCTCGCCATTAATAGTGAGGGAAGTATTCTCTCTTGTGCAAAGGAGACAGGCTCACACACTGAGTGAATGAGGTGCCCACAGGAGAGAGTGGATTGGGAAGTGCACGAGGGCCCGTTGGTCTCCAGTTCACTCATGTGAACTGGTGCGAGTTGTCTACACAGCAGTGGAACCTCAGCCTGCCAGGCGTCCTACAACACTGCCAGCTGCCCCAGACACTGGCCAGTAAGGGGCGGATTATTTTTGTACACTACAGCAGTTACAAGATGATTTTTCTTACATCTGTGAATGTACTGAAGTGAAAATGAACCTGGCAGCATCTTTGTTGGGCTTGTCAGCTTATCCCTCCCACCTTAAACATTGTATTGTCCTGGACCCTCGTTCTTCAGCCTTAATTAAGAGCTGAGTGAGCAGGAGGCAGAATCATGCAAGTTTGTATTGAGGAGAAGACCGGTGCGATGCTTTGATAATGTTTGCCGAGTGGCTCACCATTAAGACGTCAGAGCAGAGCTCAGGCCAGATGGCGCTGCAGCCCGTGGATGGAGCGTACTGCGCTGTGGCTTCTGGAAGTCCTCGTCCTCTCTACAATGGTTGTCAGCTTGTTCTCCAGCTTCATTCACGTTTGATTCCTCGGAGGACTGCAAGTTATCTCTGACATTCCAGTATGGAGCTCTCGAGCCCAGGTCCACAGCCTGGAAGTGTTAAGGCCCGCTGAGAAGCTGTGCTGTGCAGCCTTCCTCTCGGAAGATTGGTCTCTGTCAAAGCCAGGCTCCTGGAGTTACTTCAGCAGAAGACTAGAGTTAGAAAAAGGCAAAGGCTCTTTGTCCGGGGTGTGACGTGTGTGTATTGAATCATGTCAGTGGAGTGTTAGGGTCTGAAGCCTGTCATTTTAGAAGATTGTAGAGTGTATGTCCTTGAGACTGTGAATTCTATATGAATCAGTACTTTTAAGGTCATTCTGTACATACATTTTAAATTATGTAAACAAACAGGAGGAAAATGTGCAATTTTGAGGAACACCTAATTCACACTGGGTTAGGAAATATTCTTCCACCTCTTGCTTTATGTGTTGATGGACTTATATAATCTTGCAGATTTCTGATTTCACTATTCATTTACTGACATAAAGGGAAAACACAAAGCATAGGAAGGGAGAGGAAAACCAGCTTTTGTAATAAATGTCCCGCCATATGGCTAGTCTGTGCTCAAGCTCTGCACTGCCTCTCCTTTTTCCTTTCTGTGGTGCTAGGGGGGCAAGGGCCTTGCACACGCCCGGTGTGCATCTCCTCCTGTGCTGCGCTCTCAGCCCAGCTCTGCAGTTGAGTGCAATGGATGCCTTTAGTCACCCATCTCTGCTTGTCAGTGGCAGGCAGGCAGCCTTGCTGGTGGGGCTGCTGCCCTGCCTGGAAGGCCTCATTTCTGTTAGGGGTGGTGGAAACCTGCCGTCTCCCTCCACAGACGAAGCCTGTTGTTAGCACTAACCCTTTTGTTGGCATGTGGCTCACAGCGTCATCGTCATCGTCATCGGTGGGCGACGTCTTCATGCTCCAATATGAGCCTGAGTTTTCTTATCCAGCTTAACGCCCCTTCTTGAGACTGGATCCACTCAGGACTGGATGAAGTGATGTTTTGCTCTCTGGATATATTTCCTTGATCTACTTCTGCCATCCTGGGAAGGAAGTAACTAAGAACTGCCTAGGAGTTCACCTCACTTTCTTATTAAACGTTGCCCTGGAAGAAAGGGTCAGGAGCTGGGGAGCTGGCACGGTGAGTAAAGTGCTTGCTTTGAAAGCATGGCGACCCAAGTTTGGGTTCTCAGTACCCGAGTAGAAATCTGGGTGCAGCGACACATGCCTGTAACCCCAGCATGCAGGAGGGGGAGGCAGGCCCAGCTGAACTAGTGAGCTTAGGTTCAGGGAGATACCTAGAAGAGTGAGGACGCAGGTTCAGCCCCCAGAACACACGACAGCTCACCGCATCTGCAGAACTCCAGTTTCAAGGGATGGCATCCTCTGCTGTCCTTCACGGACACGGCCTGCACGCGGTGCACTTGCAGGCAGAACACAAGTGCACATAAATAACACATCCTAAAAGGGTGATGGAGGAGGACACCCTGCATGTGCGTGTGTCCCCACATACTTACGCACACATACTAACGTATAGAAACAGTTTGGTTTGAAAATAGATCCTCTGTCGGTTGAAAATTACTTTGGGGGAAAAAATAGCAGGAGGCTTTTACACAGTAAGCTAAAGAATTTCTGGATAGGAAGTGCTTTCCCCTTCAAGTGTGCTGTGTTCCGGAAGTCAGCGATAGTAGTTACGTAAGACCTTAGGAAAAGAGAGAAGATCCCCTCCTGACAGCTGGGCTGAAGGGCTGGAGTGTGGCGATGTGTTTTCGAGAGCCCAGGGTCTCCGTGCTTGCCGCGCAGGTGCTCCCTGGGAAGCCTGGGTGGTGTGGGGTTCGATGGGATCCTGCTGCCTCTGCCTCCTGAGTGGGTGATGCCCAGGGGCCACCACGCCTGACTACAAAAGCCTTTACTTGCGCTGACTAGTTTTCCTGACTAACATCCTGTTTTTTTCTTTCCTGTTGCCTTCCTGGCTCTAGCACCAACCTCCCCCTCAACCATTGAGCTGAGTAAGCATGCTTGCCAGGACTACCCGTCTCTGTACCTGTCATTTTGTTGTAGTCATTAGTGGCATCAACAGTGCCACCTCCTTGTACTGAAAAGGACACCATATCCTTTTACCACTCACACAACAGCTTGGGAGGCTCATTGAATTTGAGAGCAGTGCTCCCTTACCTTCAGTTTTTTCCCACCCTGAAATGGGGTTTCTTTGTGCAATCCTGGCTGTCCACCAGGCTGGTCTTGAAGCCAGAGATTGGCCTGCCTTTGCCTCCTAGGTGCTGGGATTAAAGGCATGCACCACCACACCCAGCTAGTCCTTCTATTTTTTTAATCTTTCCCTTGTATTTGACACTGGTGACCACTTTATCTTTTCCCAGGACTTTGATTTTTTACCTTCTTACATTTGTCTTCTAGAGCATTTCAGTTTCTTTTAATCTTTGAGTTTGTGTGTATATATGTTCACTTGTATGTTTTTGGTGACTGTGGCTCCTAGGTTCGAGTGTGTATATACATGTGTCTGCATGTGTGGGTGTTTATGTGCATGGTCTAGTTAGTTCACAACTCTGTGTGGTGGCCATGTGCATTGATTCCTTCTTGTCCTAATTCGATCTTCCCTCTCATGCCTCATTCTTGTTATTATTTAAACAATGAGGCCACAACAGATCTTATATGAAAGAGTTTATTTGGGGGAAGGGAAGCAGAAGAGAGTTAGGGCCTGAGTGAGCCATGAGGACAGAGACAGAGACAGAGGGACAGAAATGGTGGGGAGTGCCCCGACAGAGAAAGGGGGAGAGCAGGAGAGAGGAAGAGAGAGAAGGGGTCCTTTTAGCCCGGGCCCCTGTGGGCGGCAACCAATGATGACATCACAGGTGCCTAAGCAATCTGGGAGTGGGCTGCTACATCAAGATTTCTGAACTAACAGTTCTCACTCTGAGCAATCGCAGTCTTTATTTCCCTTCAAGCTTGGCCAGCACCATTTAGTTGAAGTGCCCTTGTATAACCAGTGCTGTAAGCCTCCTCTGCTTGCTTTGTTAGTCACACCCATCTTACTTGTGTACTCAGTGTCTCCGGCCCTCTCGGATACTCTGGCCCTCTTCCTCCGAGGCTAAGACTCGTGTGGTTGGTGTTAGATAATGTTAGTCAGGTTGGAAAAGTTGGGCAGGGCAGGCCGTGGTCCCTGGACCTTACAGCCCGCCCCGCGCCACTCACAGCAGCTCTCCTGCAGTAGCTGCCTGCGCTGTCAGGCTCATGGCCTTACACGCGGTGCGGCATCCTCACTCAGGTTCCCGGCAGCAGAGAGCCTTGGCCACAGCAGTGCTCAGGCGTTGTCTCTGGGCTGTCTCTCCTCTCCAGCTGCTCAGCCCTGTCTCCTCTGCCTCCCGGTCACTCTGCTGCTGATTCGCCTTTTCTGCTGGAGCCTTCCAGAGCCCTTATCGTAGGCACAGTTTGCCAGGCCTGCTGGCTTTACTGCCTGAGAGTATCCTCTGGCTGCTTCTTGTCATTTCCTTAGTTAAACAGCGCATGTGGACATGTCCAAGGACAGGCAGCCATTTAGCTGGTACACTGGCTTCTTGATTGATTCACCCTCGCACACTACCTTTTTTGAACTTTTAGACACTATCTTCGTTATCTCCCACTCCACTTTTTTTTTTTTTTTTTTTTTTCCTGTATTGCCTGGATGGAGATAGCTTGTGTCAGTGTATATCGTAAGAAAAACAGATTAAACGTGAAATACTAGTGTTAGTGTAGACATAGATGGCACAACGCCCTTAGCTGGGGATGTATGTACTGTTATAACTAGTATTTCTCTTTAACTGCATCTTACTGGTGGCATTTTAGAAGCAAGAACAAAGGTAGTTCCAGGGAATTCAGTGCCCTCTTCTGGCCTCCAGGGGTACCAGGCACACACATGGTACACAGACATTCATGTAAGCTGTGTTGATTGGTTTTTGTCAACTTGACACAAATCTAGACTTAGCTAGAAAGACACACTCTTAATTGAGAAGATGTCCCCTGCCCGTCAGATTGTCCATATACGTAGCCATGGCCAGGTAGTCCTAGACTGTATAAGAAAGCGGGCTGAGCAAGCCATGGAGACCAAGCCAGTGAGCGGCACTCCTCCATGGCCTCTGCATCAGCTCCTGCCTCCAGGTACGTGCTTCGTGATGGACTGTGATTGGGATGTGTAAGCTAAATAAACCTCATGCATGGTGTTTTGTCATAGCCACAAAACTTAAGACACAGACAAAATACTCACACTCATAAAATAAATAGGATCTGTGGAAACCGCTGTACCGTTTACTGTCAGTATGCATCCCAGGCCTTGTGGCTCTGCGGCCTGCAGTGGTGAGCCCAGGGAGGGTGACTGCGTGGTCTAGGATTGCAGAGGGACAGGAGAGAACCAAGCACCCAGTGTTTCTCCATCTCCCCGCATGGCCTGGCCTTCCCTCCAGCTGGCTCTTATTCTAGGCTCCCTTCCAAGGTGTGGTTGTGCAGTGCTCTCATCTTTCCTCAGGCTGGGGTCTCAAGCAGAACTGACAGTTGTGAGGCTTTTGTGAGAACTCCCTGCAGCCCCTCCACCTGCCATTGGGCAGAGCTGGCCAGGTCACACTGGGTGTGGATGGTGGTGCCAGATCCTAGCCCCTCTCTGCAGTAGTTTTCTGTCCTTAGTTGGTGTGTGTGTGTGTGTGTGTGTGTGTAACTTGTGCATGTGTGTGCAGGTACGCTTACCTTACACGCGCACATGTGGAGTCCCGAGTTTGATACTGAGTGCCTTCTTTTGTTCCCCACCTCATTATTTAGAACTTCTTTAAATATATGAGCATTTTGCTTACAAGTATGTGTGTGTACCATGTGTGTGCCTGGTGTGTGAGGGGCCAGAAGAGAGTGTCCTCTGGAATCTGAGTTACTGGCAGTTGTGAGCCACCATGTTGGTACTGGTCTTCTGCAAGAGCAGGCAATGCTTTTCAGCTGCGGAGCCATCTCTCCAGCCTGTCACCTTATTTTTTGAGACAGGGTCTCTCACTGGACTAAACCATTTTGGCTAGACTGGCTGGCCAGCAAGCCCCTGAGACCCTGGTCATTAACGCTGTCCCCAGTGTGGAGGTCACAGACACGCCTATGGCACTGTTTGGTTGTTGTTTTTATGAACTCTAGGATCTGAACTCAGGACCCCTTTATCATCTGCCCCTTTGCTGCTGCTGCTTCCTTTTCCCTGGCCCCCTCCTCGCCTCCAACTAGGGTCTTTCTGGGTAGCCTGGGCTTTCTTAGAACTAGCTCTATATACCAAGCTGGTGTCAAACTCTGAGTGCTGGGATTAAAGGTGTGCCCCACCACTGACCACCTTCCTCTTTCCTTCTTTAAGAAGTACGTCTTCACTATCCTTCCAGATTTTTCTGTTTGAGTCTGAGAAGAATTCTGGCACCCAATAAACTCTTGCCCCCAAATTGCCCCTCTCTTCTGTGCTGCTGGCCAGGATAGTCAATGAAGATTACTTCCTGTGCATGAATCTCCTCTGCCTCTCTGCTCAGTTACCTTTCTCCCTATGAATGTTTCATTAACCTGGGATGAAGTTCTTGCTTC